CACTTTACATGTTATCACACTTGATCTTCTCAGAAGCTCACATGGGCGTTTGGAGACAGAAATGTTTGTGGCATTACTTGACCTGGGAGCCAGCCTGCCAGTCTGACAAAATCTACATGGACCGTGTCCTAGCGCCACCGATAGACGCTTAACGGTGAACTCGACCAGCTGACGCACCCTGGCATATGGACTGAGGCAAAGGCTAGGTCTACACACTGTGACATGTGACACATACCAGGGGTGTGGTTCCTGGAAGCGGCAGGTCCAAGCTTGCTCATCAATCCAAGAGAATGAACACTGCCACTGGGTTGGGAGCAGAAGATTTTAAGATACGGGAATAAATTTCTGAGATTCTGCAGACTTAAACGTCCCTGGATAAACAGAACCTAAGTTTCCGGCAAGAGGCAGCCCATTTATGGGCAGTGCCACATAAAAAGTATCCCTCATCTTTAATAGCTGTAAGGGAACATAAAAGAGAGGAACTGAGCAGGATGTTTTGAATTTCTCGGAAAGAATCTCAGATTTACAGGCAAAGCCTTGTGCTCGGCGTTATATAAATAGACTGCCTGTATGCGGGCGATGCAGTAAGCGAGGTGCAAGCATTCCTGTGCCTGCTGGTGTGTGGCTTTAAGACAGCACATGCTCCTGACTGCGGATTAATCAAGTGAGGTCGCAGCTGGTCAGCAGCAGCTCCTGGATCTTTCTCGGAGGCTGAGAAAAATAACCAGTAATTAAAGTCATGTTTTCCATTAATAACAACAAAAAACCCTACCAACAATGCGATTCCACATGTCTAGTTTCATGCAAAACTTTCCACATGAGAGGCTTATTCTGATATTCATTACAAAAAAAAAAAGTGGCCTTTTCATATCTAGCTCACCTGAAGGGGAAGTCGGGGGCTCATGCACCATGCAAATATTGCCAGCGCTTGGCTCCTCTTTTCTTATTTCTACATCAACCACCTGGAACACTTTACAAACCAGAAGCTGAGCTCAAAGTACGGAACATTTTACCAGAATCAGCCTGAGGGCTGGTAAAGGTCCAGATGGCAGGCTGCCTAAAGGGGCTGGAAAAACAGACCAGCCAGCCAAACCACCAGGCTCTATAGCACCTCATGGCTAAGGACAGGTCGCTCTTGGTCTCTTCAGTTTAAACTTCCTCCCCCTGGGCATTTGGGGTGCCAGGACAATTTGGACATCTCAGAGAGAGCACCGGATTCAGAGTCAATAGGGAGCTTCTAGTCCTGGCCCTGCAACCAGCCAGGCAGAGTGAGGTTTTGAGGGTGTCACTCAAACGTCTGTTCCCCTCAGCCTCCTCCTGTGCAGATGGGAGGAAGGTTAACGCTGGGTTTTCCTAATCAGGCTCTTGTGGGCAGAGAATGAGATAAAGTAGGTCAAAGAGCTTTGGGGCATTTAAAACAGGACACAAATGCCAAGGATTTGTATTACGGAAGGGCTAGGGAATTCTCTTCCTTTTCTGAAGGGGGGAAAAGCCCGCGCTTGTTTTATCTCCAAGAAAGGATTCGAATCCACCATTTTTACATAGATGATGAGACAGAACACAATTGTGTACCAAGAACCTGCATGTGTCATCATTCCTATAATAAAACTAGAGGTCCGATGCACAGAATTCGTGCAGGCCTTCCTTCCCCCGGCTGCCCTGGACCCGGGCTTCCCTCTCAGCCCTGGCTTCATCCGGAATGACGGACAGGACGGACGTCTGGTCTAATTAGCATATTATGCCTTGTGATTATAGATTATCACAAGGCTTAATCACTAAGTAATGCCACTGATTTTTAAATAAACATATGTAAGTAGGCGTGGTCCAATTCTGAGTAGTCAGTAGCCACCTTGGCAAGAGGAACACCTATTTAATCTTTCCCATCACTCAGAAAAACACTTAACTCCCCTTTTGGAATTATTCCGAGAGCCTCTGGCACATTTGTCTTAGGGTGACAAAGATTTTGTCCTTTGTGGGTAATAATGGCTATGTAAATAGCACCAAGCATAAATGTTGGTAAATGAGCTAAGTAATGCCATTTTGTATTTTCACTAAAAAAAAAAAGTCTTTAAGATAGGAAGGCTGTCTTCTTTTTGTTCCACAGAGCAGTTATAAATAGATTCCAGGGATGGGCAGAATTGTTGTAAAGGGCTTGTTGTATCCTAAGGCAATCACATTAGAGGAGAAAAGCCATTTGGATGTATTTCTACATTTTTAGTCACACCTTCATTATTCATCTGGCAAAACTGGCATTGGACTTTGCACTCCTAGAAAGGGCATTGCAACTAACCAACTGTTCAATCATTATATCACAGCTTCTTGGGACTTCTGAATTCCTCATTTGCATTTGAATTAACTGCCTAGCAATACAAATGTTTCCAATGAATTAACATCTAGGGCTAGTGGAAATATACACCCAGCAGATTCAATTCTAATCAATAGATTTTCTATTCCCTTAAAAAGTTTAGATTTTTTTTCAGTTATGAAAAATTTGTCTGAAAATTAAAATATCACTAATATTATTAATCTGCTGGAGTAGATTTGCTTCTGATGCAAATAATTTAAATTGCTATTATTACTTTAAAACAAACACAATCACCCTTTTATTCATGAATATTGCACACTGTGGGCACTTCAGTGTTAAATGATGCCAATGACTTTTCTTTCATGGAAATTATTGTTTTATCTACCTAATTTTTTTAATTGTGGTAAAATTCACACATCTAATTCATTATTTGATCATTTTAAAGTGAAGAGTTTGTGGTATGTAATACATACCACACCCCTCTCTAGTTCCTAAACATTTTCATCACCCCAAAAGGAAACCCTGGACCCGTTAAGCAGCCATTCCCCATTCCTCCCTCCTCCTAAGTCCTAGGCAACTACTTACCGCTGTTTCTATGGGTTCGCCTATTCTGACCATTTCATATAAATGGAACATCACAATATGTGGCCTTTGTATATAGCATAATGCTTCCAGGGTTCATCCATGGTGTAGCATGTCAGTACTTCATTCCTTTTTATGGCTGAATAGCCCCACAGCATGGATGTCCTGCATGTGTCTATCCATTCATCCCTTGATGGATATATGGGTCGTTCTCACCTTATGGCTATTCTAAATAATGCTGCCATGAGCATAGGTATACGGTTTTTTTCTTCGAAAGCCTGTTTTCCATTATTTTGGCTACCTACCCAGAAGTGGAACTGCTGGGTCTCATGGCAGTGCTGTGTTTAATTTTCTGAGAAAGCACCAAACCTCAGACTCACTTTTACACTTACAAGGTGTAATGCCCTTTCAAGGTGGCTTAATTTCCAGACAGAGGCGGTTGGACTCCTGCAGCCAAACCCAGGCGGGGCTCAAAGAGGTCTCTCTTTCAGAAACACTGAGCCAAGCTTGTTCCAACACACGTTACAGGCAGGGCTTTGAGCAGCTTTCTCTGCTGCTCTGCAAGTCCCGGCATGAACTGGCTGGGCAGGAATACCTTCCTGCCTCCGAGGCATCCTTGCTTCCTCCATTATGTTGTGCACACTTTTGGAAAAGAAAAGAAAGAAAAGAAAAAAAAAGTAGGTAACTACCTAACTCCCAGGCTTTCCTCCTCTCATTTTTGTAGAATTCAGGTGAGAAGCTGGAGTGCCCATGGACATGCTGCTTGGCAGCCAACGATAGGCCCCTGTCCTGGGCAGCGATAGTCCTTCCGTGGTTGGAGGTCAGAGCCTCCCAAATACCAGTGAAACAATAGAAGGGAAGACTTTTTACCACAGCCCTGAGATTCTGACCCTCTCAACCCACAGACACAGCACTGGACCTGCCCCACTGTGGATTCTGCAGATGTCTACCCTATGGGGTCGGCCAGGACAATGGGAGATAGTTCTACTTCAGGCATTGTTTCCTGCAGCCAACGCACTGAGTCATGAGGTCCGTCTGCCATTAAACCAACCCTGACAGTAACTGATTAGCACTGATTTATCTTTTTTAAACTTAAGCCTGTTTCATGAGTTTCTCAGATTGCTGACCTCTTACCTCAACAGCCTAACACATAGGTCATTTCTATTCTAGGCTACAAGGAGCCCGAATCAAGAAGCATTATGGTAGCACTGCCCCAAACAGAGACAGACCAAAACTTTTTTCCACTTGAAAGCAAACACAGAGAAGGAAGAAGTATCTGGGGTCCTTGCTAGCCGACTGCCAGCTCGGCTGTCACTTGCTTGCTGGTCTCCTGGCAGCCCCTTCAGGTGTCCTGGCCTGAATCTACTGTTAGGACAGAAAAAAGAAAAAAAGAAAAAAGAAAAAAAAGTCCCTTGGCTGATCATATCCTCTGCAATCTGGCAGGAAACCTCAAGTTTGCCGGCTCCCGTCCCGGGTCTGTTTGCTTATCTGCTTCCTTGTAGGGAAGAGCCTGCATCACAGTGTCCGGTTTAGGGGGATTTTCACTATGACCTCACCCTGCTGCAGCTAACATCCACTGATCTCTGCGCCGCAGCCCGCAGCTCGCAGCTCGGGAGGGAATCCACATTCACAGACACTAGCCAAGGCCTCCTCGCACATCTCAGATGAACTCTAGCTCCAGTTCCTTCTCCATCGGGGAAGCGTGGGAGGGAGGGCCTTCCAGGGGTCTGAGAATGCCAGAAAGAGCAGGGTGGGCGGATTGGCGAGGTTTGGTTAGCGTTCAGGGCTTGGGAGAGCAGGGTGTCAGGGAACCGCCGTAAGCAAGTGCACCAAAAGCCTTTTAGGCTCGCGCCCGCGGTTTGAATATCCTTCCTTCCAGCCAATGGCTTCGAAATGAGGCGCGCGACCGCGGAGGTCACCTGACCACAGCGGGGCGCGCACGCGAGCCAGAGCGTGACCGGCGGGCCTCGGGGCGGGAGGCCTGGAGGAGGCGCTGCGTGCGTGCGTGCTGCGTGCGCGCCCCCGGGAGACGGCGTGCGCGTGCGCGCCGCGGGGCCACCGCCCCTCCCGGGCCCGCCCTTCTTCCCTCCCTCCCCTGCTCGCCCGGCCCGCCCTGCGCGGCCCGCCCTGCTAGTCAGTTCGCTCCTTCCCTCCCTCCCCGGCGCGCTCCGGCCGCCGCAGCGCTCTCCGCCCTCGAGCCGCGGTGCCGGAGTCGCCCGGCGCCCGAAGAAGAGGTGGAGGGAGCCGGAGAGGCCCGCCGAGGCGGCGGCGGCGGCGGCGGCAAGATGGCGGACTTCCTGCCGTCGCGGTCCGTGCTGTCCGTGTGCTTCCCCGGCTGCGTGCTGACGAGCGGCGAGGCCGAGCAGCAGCGCAAGTCCAAGGAGATCGACAAATGCCTGTCCCGGGAGAAGACGTACGTGAAGCGGCTGGTGAAGATCCTGCTGCTGGGCGCTGGCGAGAGCGGCAAGTCCACCTTCCTGAAGCAGATGCGGATCATCCACGGACAGGACTTCGACCAGCGCGCGCGCGAGGAGTTCCGCCCCACCATCTACAGCAACGTGATCAAAGGTGCGGGGCGGGGGTCGGCGCGGGGGGCCGGGGGCCGGGCCCGGGGCGGCGCGGCGCGGGGCGGGCACCGCCCTCGGGCTCGGTCCAGGGCGGAGGACCGGGCCCTGCGGGCGGGCGGGCGGGCGGGCGGGAGGGAGGGAAGGGGGCGCGCCCGGGGCACCGCTCCTTGCTGTGCGGAGTGCCCCGGTCTCCGTGGAGAGGGAGTGCCCTAGGGCTCCCCGCTTTCCTTCTTGCTGCCCGGGTTGGGGGGCACGGCTGGTCTCCCACCCCGCCCTCCGACAGGGAAGTGTAGAGAGCCGGGTGCCCCAGAGGAGGCAGGAAGACCTGAAAGCCAACCCCGGACCCTCCACCCCCACCCAGGGCCCGGGCGCTGGCGGCCCAGCCTCCCCGCCCGCACGCCCCTGGTGGGTGACCCGAGTCACATGGGGTCGGTCTGCTCCCGACTCCCTGCTTCCTTGGGCGCCTCCTGAGTAAGGCAGTTCTGGAACCGTCGCGATCTGGAAACTTTTTTTTTTTTTTTTTTTTTTTTTTTTTTTTGCCGAGACTTGTCAAGGGCAAAGGGTGACAGGCTCTGGGTCCTCTTGGACAAGGATATGAAACTTGAGGGTGTTCTGTTTGTTGTGCAGGTACCAGGGGAGAGTAGACCCGTAATAGTTAGTTTATAAAAAATTAGCATCAGTGGTTTTTCGGCCCAGTGTCAGGGCTGGGCAGGATGTTTGCCTGTAACCACCATGGGCATGTTTATTTCTCTCTCTCTCTTTCTCTAATTTGAGGGGGGCCGCACCACAACTTAAATGAAATTGTGCATTGACATAAAGAACCTTTGATCTAAAAATGATGTGGAGCCTGTGCAGGTAGTCCATGCATCAGTGTCAGCTTGGATCGTAGACTCTGCTATTTGACATTATTTCAAAAATTAAAGTTATACTTTGTTCTTAAGGGAAAAATACACTAGAATTTTATTTCTGTGATTTCAAAGAATTAGAGAAGACGGGTTTCATTTTGCCATTTGAGCGATAAGTAAGCGCTTATTTTTCTTACCACCAGATATTTTCTATCTTATAAAAGACATTTTGGCAAACTTGAGATACAGAGTCTGGTCCTTCAGGTGCATCCAGATTCTCTTTATTTCATCTGGGTAGGAGTTTGCCACAGATTTCAGGTCTTTTCAGTATTTTTTAAAAGGAGTTGCGTTTTTTTTTTGTTTGTTTGTATGTTTGGGAAGTACTTAAGCAGCTCCTTTGGGTCACTTTTTGCTCCCAGGCCTGGGTAGAGGAAGACTGACTGGGTGTGTGTTTATGGGGGTAGCTGGTGGGGTGCCCCCCGGGGGTTTAATGACTGAGAAGAGCACTAGGTGGGGGGCTCCCAGACCACAGTGAGCTCCCAGCCCTAGCACCACTGCAGTTAAGCTGTACAAAACAGCTGTATTTATCCTGTCTTAATGTTTAGCACAAAAGTAATTAAGGTCTTTTTCAGACTCCACCTTGCCAATTCTTAATTCAAGGTACCTTTGTATCCTGATGTCGCTGAATTCAGGAATTATGTCAATGAAGAGAGTCCACATGTTAACTGGTTATGAGCCCGGTAAATACCTGCTTCTTAACTGTGCCTATTTTGAGCATTGAGTATGAGATGCTAGACATCTACTTTTTTTGAGTTGGCATGATCAGAAAATGGACAGCACAGTAGTTTTCAGGTATCCAAGCAAATGAGCTCTTGATAGTTATGTGACTGTTGGATGGACCAAAGATAACAGTGTAGTGATAGAGTTATTGGGCTTGCACTAATCTCTGTGAGTTGAAATTTCTGTTTTTATTTTTTTTTATTTTTTTATTTTTTTTTTTTTGCGTTTGGTCTTTCTTTTAGGGAACTCTAATGCCATCCTGTGACATACTGATGTGAAGCTTGACATGGGACTTTTTTGAGTTTTGAATGTGTTCCTAAAAGACTCAGTGGATTAAATAGGATGCTCAGGGACCAAACAACTTGGCATTTGGGAAATGAGTGTCTTTTTGAGGGGCTCAGGAAATCTTCAGAGCCTGGACATCATTCTATGCAGCTTTTTATTTTTTCTCTTGTGACTGTCTGCCTTCTACCTCAGAAGTTATTTTATAAATGAGAACATGTTAAAATCCTTCAGAAAGAGAAATTGTTTAATAGTACCTGCTTTTCAAGGCTCTAATTTTATGGCTGTAAATAACTTAGTTTTTTAAAACTCTGAGAAGTTACAGATGTCTGTTTTGATGTTGGTCTCCATCTTTGGAGCAGGTAGGTCTGGAGTAGTAAAGTTTAAGAAAATAATACTGGAATAGAACTTTTGGGAGTCTAATGATTCCTATCACACTTCTTTCTTTTTTTTTTTTTTTTTAACAAAGGTATGAGGGTGCTGGTAGATGCTCGAGAGAAGCTTCATATTCCCTGGGGAGATAACTCAAACCAACTCCATGGAGACAAGATGATGTCATTTGACACCCGTTCCCCCTTGGTGGCCCAGGGACTGGTGGAAACTCGAGTTTTTTTACAATATCTTCCTGCTATAAGAGCATTATGGGCAGACAGCGGGATACAGAATGCCTACGACCGACGTCGAGAATTTCAACTGGTAAGAGATTTGTTAAAATGCTGTGGTTTTATTTGAATGACATTTATTATCTGAGAGGTACACACCCTTTTCACTGACTTCCACAATGTAATATATCTGTGCAGAATGTTAGCCTCAGAAATTGGGGTTGCTATATAGATGAGCTGTTTACTAGCAAGGTAAAAATAAGGCAAACCCCATCAATTTGGTGAAGCTGTGATAGTTAATTGATCATTTTTTCTTTTTGAAAGTAAAATAACGATTTTTGTAAGCACTGCTACATTTTTTTCAGCTTTTGAAAATAATTACCTCAATTACAGCAATAATATTCATCCTTCTTTTAAAAAAATCAACCTTTTACTCTTGGACTAAGAGTTCAATAACTGAACTAGGCTCAACTGTGCTATTTGGTCTTTAGAAGTACTCATTTTTTATGATACAGATTAATATAGTGAGAGATTAAAGTCCTTAATAATGTTTAACAGTCATTGTACTTTTCATATATTTGCATTCTGTTTTTGCATGTGTGTTTTTAAAGCTTCTAAGCACATTTTATAAAATGAATTTTTTATTTTTTCAAAGAAAATTTTATGGACCAACTAAGTGGGTGTCCTATTTCATTTGGGCTGTATTAACAAACTACGATAGACTTAAAAACAACAGAAATGTATTTCTCACATTAGAGGTTGGAAAGGTCAAGATCAAGGTACTGGCACATTCAGTGTCTAGTGAGGGCCCACTTCCTGGTCCATAAATGGCCGGCCACCTTCCTGCTATCTCACTCGGCTAAAATGTATCTTTTTTTAAAAACAAACAAATCTTAGTTATTTCATCTAAGTTATTAGGTATCTGTTTTACATGGGAAGCACCTAGATTTTATTTTATATATTTTTTTTATTTTGTCTTAAACAAGACCATAAAACTTTGTAGCTGTTACAGAGAGTGGAAGAGAAAGGATCCGATCCAGGTTAAAGATACAAAAGTAATAACTAAGATTTTTGTTTAAATCAAGTGTTTTGTAATTTAATTGTGAATGCTTTGATTGTATTCTGGGTTTTATTTGCCAAAGACTGGAAAAATCCCAGGAATGATAGCAATCTAGACTGTATACAATTTGGAGCTAAGATCTGAAGTGTCATTGTACTATGATCAAAATAAAGGGACCATTACGAGTAAAACTGCTTAGAATGTTGTTTGGTGGTGTCACTGGCATTAAAGCCATCAATATTTATGGGTGTGGCTACAACGTGATGTACAGCCAGCAGTCTTTGCCATTACTCTTTGTACTCAGAAGCAGTCTTAGCTCTTAGGAGCTCTAAAAAAGTGTTTATGATAGCTTTGAATAAAACTGATACTTAGATCTGTCTCTGAATTTTGGTTCTCATGTGTGTCATATAGTCTAGCACTTGGGTATGTGTTATCTTGTATAGTTCTCTTCTTTGGTGAGTGTGTCTTGTCAAGTAATTTGTCCATTAATGAAAGGCAGAGATTACCTCACAATATTGTGAAAATTGAGTAGCTGGCAGCATTATATGTTGAAAATTATTAATTTAACAAGTGACCTCCATCCATTTCTCAGACTTGTGGTTAACTTTTGTCCTTTGGTCAGTATCTATCTATCTAACCTGTATATATAAAAGGCTAATATATAAAGTATCCCCACTGGAGTTCAACCAGGGTTTCTGTCGCTCGCTATGACGTGTGCTGACCACCAGGGGGTGGTGCGGAGCAAAGTAAGGCCCCTGCCAGCTAGGCCTAGGGGCTCTACCTGTGCACAAATTTCATGCACCAGGCCTCTAGTTTGTTACATGAATTTTGGTAGCCTTGCATAAGTTCCTCTCCACAACCCCTTCTCATCTCCCTTCACTCTCTCTCCTGTTTTTAAGTGCTGCTTATTCTCCTTTCTTCTGAATTCATTTTCCCAACAAACCACACTGTACATTCTTAAGTTTTTTCAGGATGTTATTCATCTTTCCAGGTCAGGAAAGAAATGCCATTTGTAACAGGCATGCTGTTCATATTGACTGAATGAATAAATGACTGTACTCTAAAGTTTTCTGTGGGAAAGTTCCAGAAATCCATTTAATTTAAGATGGGCTTCACCGACACTTCTTGAATTTGGGCATTCACCTCTTACTGTTAAAAATCAAGACTGTCTTGCCATCATTGTTGAGAAAGCATTCCTAAGTATTTGTCATTAAGAATAAATAGCTAAAACCACTTAGGATGAGGATCTGCATGTTCTTGATTTGAGCTAGCTGATGCTTCAGGAGCAAAGAAGACATTGGGTAGAAGAGACAAGTTCTAGAAATCAATTTTCCTGATAAAAGTAGGCACACAAGAAAAGAGGGACAGGGCAAAGATATAATTTTAAACTCCTGGAGCACATGGATTCCCCCTCCCCCAAATATTCTTGGCATTGTTAATGGTATCTGGCACCTGGTGCTCAACTCTTAATGATTCTCATACTTTTTGGATGTTCTGTGGTGCTTGGCACAGTGTCAGGCACTGGGAAGGCATTTGGCTCATTAAAAATTTTCCTCCAAAGTCATATTCGGTTTCTCCTCTTATCTATTGTACATACGGCCAATCCCCAAGTCCTGTCTTTTCTGCGCCTGCAACATCTCTTGCACCCACTCCCTCCTTTCCTCCTTTACATTATTGTCCTAGTACCTCTTGCTTGGACTCCCAGGCAATCTTGGCCATTTACAGCATGGGTTGGCTCAGAAAGCTTTGCTCATTCTCTATTGCCCAAAGAATAGAGTTCAGCCTCTTTATTTGCACCAAAACTAGCTAGCTTACCTACGATTCCAACAATATATTCAATATAGCTTATTTGGCCACTGCACGTGTCTTATAACCCCTCAATTCCCACATCCCCTGATCATCCGCTTCCACGGCTCTTCACCAAGTTCCTCTGTCAGGGTTTCTAATCACTGCGTCGGTTCACTAGGTCCTACCCTTCACCTAGAACAGTGGTAATCAAATTTTAATGTGACTGAATGCACTCTGTGGACCCCTTAAATCTGATTCCCTGGAATGCTTGCTTAATACAAAGCTAAACAGATTCCGAGACATCATCGCAAGGGGATCCGATTCAGGAATCTGGGAGCGGGCCCAGAGATCTGTATTTTCAGCAGACAGCCATTGGCAGTTTGGATAAATTTGTTCCTTGGCCACACTGAAGAACACTGCTTAGGATCAAAGCTTTCCCCGGGTCCCCAGTGGAATGCCCGTGCCCTCACTCTCTGTGGTATGCTTGTCTTCTAACCCTCACATGTGTTCCAGTTATTTGCATTCTTGTTTGGCTCTCCCACTGAAGTAGAGGCTCCTTTAGTATGACTTGTTTGTCTTTTTCTCTCTCTCTAGCTTAAGGCCTGACATTTATTTTATTTCCTCATTTTTTTAGACATACTGAATTAATAAGGTTATTAAAAAAGAAAAGAAAAGAAAGAAACATCCCACATTAAGTTCCTTCCAGGAAATATAAATTATTTTTGTATGCTAATTTGTTAGTTTTCCGGGAGATGGGAAGTCCTTGTGTTACAGAATAATTTTCTTTTTCGCAATGTTCAATATATATTCTTGAATCTTGGATAGAAAGAGTAAACAGGGGAAATGAGAGGTAAAATTGGCTGTTTTAGCTTTAACAATTGATTATTAAACTTATTAATGCAAATTGAAAGGAAAAGAAAATGTGTCGGTTTGTTAAGCCTCTCTGTGGCTTTTTTGCGTCAGATGAATGACTGCCCTATTACTAGTTTTGGGGACAAGGGATAGGATAGTGATATCACAGCTTAGGTTTTCAGCAGTCCAGTCGTTTGTTAGTAATAACTTTGGGTGCAAACATGAATGGTTTTTTTCCCCCTGGAGTTCTCAAAAGCAAACATTTCCTTTTCTGGTTAGTTTCATTATGGGTAAGCTAAATAGCTTACTGTGGGAAAAGAATTTAATCTGTTGTTATAGCTTAAGGGACCGTTCTTATACACTAGCACCTGAGGATAATACATACATCCTAAGAAGTGGTCTCTGTTGGTACTTGGTTAAATGTTTGTCATGCTCAGTTTTGGCTCTGCATTCACTGCAGCCTGCCACTGTACTGAGGAGACAATAGTTAGGGAATTTGGTAAGTTAGATGACTAAAGAGATGGGAGTCCAGAGTTGGCTAGGAAATGAAACAGCTGGAGGTATGTAATAAAACTAAGGCAATAACTAGGGGTTACTGCCAATTAAACTTTTTGGACTTTTAATATATAGTTGCTTATTCAGAAATATAAGCAGACTTTGTAGACTTGGATGTATGGACAGGAAAGTGTGTGACACTGAATGCTGTAGAGCTTCCTAATTTCTATATACAATTTAACTTGTCAGCATTAATACAACTTCCTGTAATCAGTCTTTCTTTTCAAAAAAAATAAAAATATATATATATTATTGATTTCAGAGAGGAAGGGAGAGAAAAAGATAGAAACATCAATGATGAAACAGAATTATTGATTGGCTGCCTCCTGGTTGCCCCCAACTAGGGATCAAGCCCGCAACCCGGGCATGCGCCCTTGACTGGAATCAAACCCACTATCCTTCTGCCCTCAAGCTGACGCTCTGTCCACTGAGTCACGCCAGCTAAGGCAACTAGTCTTTTTTTGCAATACCTAAAGCCAAACTGTTTTCTTTGTTATCATGGTACCTTCAGCAATTTTTCTTACTCAAGTAGTGCAGTTTGTGCTTGACATAGTTACACTTCTCCAAGCTGATGGGGTAGTTTATTCTGTGTAGCAAAGTAACTATTTAATCTCATGTATTAGCTGCTGAAAAGAGCTGAGTGCTAAGTAAGGTAAGAACTTCAGGCTGGAGTAAAATATTTATTTTCACTGTAGCATGGATTTGAAATACTATAGAGTTAGAGGCATTGGTTTATTCTTTGACACTGATATGGATCTGCTTTAGAAAATGAGTCAATTTCTGCTTTCAGTTGTAAAGTATGATTATGTTTCTTTTGGAGGATTTGGTTCATTTTCTTTATGAATAAGAGCAAAACGGGACTTTGACTTCAAGTTGCTAGATACTTATTGTCTACTGATTCTAGGGTTAGAGTTAAATGTAAGATAAGGATTACATATAACAGAGGTTGTAGAGACTTTAAAATTCATGTCTCTATGGGTAGCATTTCCTGTTGGTGAATTTGATCAAATGTCAGAGTGGTTACATTTTTTCCAAACCTTGGAAGCCCAGAGCTCTAGTACTGCTTACATTAAAAAACAAAAATGTTTTTAGCATGTACTTATACAAAACAACTTTCTGAGATTGTGTGTGAACATGTATGTATGCATACATAAGTATATGTCTTGATGAGTTTTGTTATATTGACATGTTCATGTTTATATCTTATATTTTGGGGTGGGGGAGTAGGAACTTGACTAGCTGTGAGATATGTGGGCTCCGGTGCTGAAAGGGGGATTGTAAATACTTTGCTGGTTTCTGTATTACACTTTTATTGCTAAACAAAGCTAGTGATAACAGTAATTTATGCTGCTCTGAAAATGTTTATTAAACAACTAAGGGATAAACCAAGGAACTCATTTTGTTAGGTAAACTAGATGTTAGTTTCAGAATTCTTTACTAGAGTGTGGACCTAGCCCAGGAGCAGGCTTTGTGAGCTCACTTTTAAGGAAAGCATAGCATGATGACTGAAGGACTCCCTGGCTTGAATATTCCCCGTTGACCTTCCTCAAATAGGCAGCAGCCCAAACAAGTTGAGGTATCTAGTCATACTAGCCCAAATCAGGTGCTAATTTCTCCAGAAAATGAATTTAAGTGCTGATAATTATATCACATTTTAATACTTTGTTTTTTCAGAATGCCTTTGTTCTTTTCAGAGTTCTGTGACATACATTATCATGCAATCCTTTAAAACAAAACACAGAAATAGAAGATGTGTATTGCTCCCACTTCACAGATGAAAAAATTCAGATGCAGAGAGAGGTTCCTTAAAGCTTTAATCACAGAATCAGTAAATAATAGAGTGGACACTGGGACCCAGACTGACGCCTGGCCCACAGCACTAGCCACAACTGTTTTGCACGAACTCCAATGTTATATTCACGGAGCATTCTCTTCTTCTCAGACTCTGACCAAAACCTATATGCTCAAATATTACCACTCCTCTCTTAAGTTCTTGCACATTATTAAATATATGTAAGGTTTTCTTAAGAATACTTAGCATTGCACTGATATTCACCAGGTTGTTTTTATATTCTGAACTTTCATAATACTCTTGTGCCATTCCTTTTTTATTGTATTAACTTAGTTTATGCTAAGATATAAATAAACTTAAATGACATTTAATAGTAAATTTATTAACTTAGAGTGGTACAGTTCTTCTAACCACTATTCATCATGGGAAAGGCCGTTTGAATCCTCACCTCCTTGAAAGCTACAATAAATCAACTACTAGTCATCCTCAACTGATGTTCCATTAGTGAGCATGGTTTTTATTTGTTTTATTTTTTGTGAACATGTTTTTCTTTTTAACTTTTATTGATTTTCAGAGAGAGAGGAAGGGAGAGAAACATCGATTTTGTTTTTCCACTTATTTATGCATTGATTGATTGCTTGCTTAAATGTACACTGACCAGAGATCAAACCCACAACCTTGGTATATTGGGAAGATGCTCTAACCAATTGAGCTACCTGGCCAGGACAATGAACATGGTTTTTATTGTACCCTGAAAAAGAAAAGTTTAATGGCGACCTGTTATCTGAAAGGCAGCCATATAATTTTCTAGGAAAGTGTCATTTGGACATTAGCACATATCCAGTATGTAGTTGCTCTTGGTTTGGAGAAGGGGATATCAGAACACTATTATTTTTTTTAAATATATTTTATTGATTTTTTTACAGAGAGGAAGGGAGAGAGATAGAGAGCTAGAAACGTCGATGAGAGAGAAACATCGACCAGCTGCCTCTTGCACACTCCCTACCGGGGATGTGCCCGCAACTAAGGTACATGCCCTTGACCGGAATCTTACCCAGGACCTTTCAGTCCGCAGACCGATGCTCTACCACTGAGCCAAACTGGTTTCGGCCACTATTATTATTTTTATGAGCTCCTTTGCAGTGTTATTCAGATAATTGTCACAGTTGTCATACTATTGAGCATTCCAGATTGCAGTTTGTTGCAGTTTTTTCTTATAGTTAGAAGCTATATTTTATGTGCATATTTCTGAAAATTAAGTGATTTTTATTTCCTTGCTTGAAAGTATTTCATTTTTTTCTAGCTACATGGTACAATTCACTTTTGTCTATATGGTAAATATATATATTGCAAGATGCCTTATTCCTGAGAGAATTTGTTCCATCCTTATTAACAGAGCATTATTAGAATGGGTTGATACAGATCTAGGAAATGTTTTGTTTTGAGACTGGACTAAAGTTGCCATCTTCTGCATTGATAGTAGTTGTTTATCTTAATCTTTCAAATTTATTCTCTCTTCTTTGGACAAAACAAATTTTAAAATTTAAATCACTTTAGTGAGTGTACTTTTTCATCCCCAACTATTCTATAACAGATTCAGAATACTTGAGTAGAATTACTCGTCCTTGATTTATTTTGGTTTTGGTCTCAATCATAAGACATATGTACTTGGTTTTGCTACATGAAACTTTACTGTGTATCTTCGAAACAAATTAGAAAATAACCATGTTCAAAAGTATTGATTTATTTTGCATATTGTGAAACATTTAGAAATGATTTTAATGTGATAGCCTTAATGGTTTTCTACAGTGCCATGAGATAAAGTGGAACTAAATGGCCAGCCAGAAATCATGTCCTGGCTGTGCCACTCACTGTGTGAGCTTGAGCAAGTCCCTCAGCATCTCTGAATTTCTGCAGATGAAAATTGGGGACAATCCAAGGACCCACCGTTATTAATTGTTGTAGGGATTACATGAGATAATCCATGTAAAGGACTGTAGTGCAATGCCTGACACATATTAACCATTTTATTAATATTAGCCATATGTACATAAACCATATGTATCTTTTTTTAAAATAAAGCACCATAAGCTTTTATTTGATTCATTCTTTGAACTTGTTTACTAATATAAAAAATTCTGAATTCTTAATAATGCAGAATATGGCTTACATTCTCATTAGACCATGTTGTCTAATAAAGGCAGTACTTCCAAGAGTGATTTGAGGTTTTCATTGCTACTTGGATTCTTGCTGCCTTCTCCTGTCACTTTGCTTGATTTTTCAATCTAATGTGTAGTCGATTTAGCCAAATCCTTGGCTTCCTGCCCCTTAGTGTGGTGAGAAACCTTTGGCATAGGTGCAGGTACTCTGCTGTCTCCTTCCCTCTCCCTCCTTTGTCTCTGTGGCAATCCTACACCCGGTACCCACTGTGCTCCTTCCCTTTCTGCCATTTCCTGTGCCTGTGGTGGGCAGAGGCTTTGTGAGTACTCCTCAGGCTAAAGAGGGCATTTGGGTTTCTTTTCCCAAGGTAAAAAGAAAACAAAAAAAACCTAACCATATATTAGTAAAATACAAAATTATTTTCTTTTTAAGATTTCGTGTACTTTTATGAGATTTTAGGACTTCTGACCATTTTATATAAAAACCAACTAAAACAGTCTAATAGAGAATTCCTACTTTTTCTCATGGAGCAAAATAAACAAATTTGTTCCCCTAAAGAAAAATTTTTTATTGACTTTGGCATTTCAAAACGATGTTAGCCAATAAGCAAAACTTTTTTACATCCCCCACTCCAAATAGTTTTTACAGTGTCTTTTGGTTTTTTGAGCTGGAGCAGCTTCATGTATCCTGTTAATAGGACATTTCTTTTTTAACCCTTCTGGAAAGGTTAAAGAAAAAGAGCTGGAATAATGATTAATTGGGTGAGACTTTCCTTTTTAGTAATCTGGTACTGTTTTCCTATTCCCTGGGTAATGTTTTTTAAAATCATTTTTCTGTTAAACAGGATGGACTGCCTCAGTAGAAGTTGTATAATTTGTCATCTTAAACTATTAGGTGGCTTTCATTTAGGCTTCATGATGTAAAGAGGTTGTATACATTTATTGATATTAAATAAAAGAAAAACTCCTGGAAGATACTAACATTGAGCAAAGGTACTAGGTTTTTGCTAAAGATTCACCCACAAGTTATTATTGCCTGGCCAACTGTGTGCTACACAAGGCCTAATAAATGAGAAAATAGACATGATTATACTTTAGACAAGTTGCTATTCAAATGTAAGATGGTCTCTAAACTCATTTTTATTGATTTAAAAAAATGAATAATTGAATGCTATATGCTGCAAATACTTTTCATTTTAGTTGCAATCATTAAAATAATATGATTTCGTTTATTGAGTTAAAATATTGCAATGCAAATGACTTGCTATTTTTAACTTAATATTTTGCCATATTTGCAGTAAAACTGTCTTTATTAGCTATAGCTTCAAAACTGATAGGGACCTAAAATTGTTACCATATAGATGATACACATTTCAATTCTGGACTAGGGCAGAGAGAATTATATTTGCTTAATTTTTTCCTTGACCTTTTAAGTTATGTTATGATCAGATGTTGCAACCAATTAGTAGGTGTTCACCTGTTGTAAAGCATTTTGCACATTTGGCCTTAATGCAAGATACCTTTCTTTTGTAAAATAAGGCTCTTTATTAAAAGAAAAACTTGCATTCTGCATTATTTGATAGAATATTTATATCCACCTGATGGTTCCCTACTTATTTATATTTTATACTATATGCAAGTATTAAGGTTTCGAAGCATGATCTTGACTTGAGTATGCATTTTCATTATGATCACTTGAATTCTCTTCATGTGAAAATTGAAGAGTAAATGTAAAAGTCAATGAGGGTAAAAAGGCCTTGGGGAGCAAATTTCAAGGGTTCAGTTATTTATTTAACAAGTCTGATAAATCAACTTGTCAATTGGCAGCTTTCAGCAGCCTGTGTGTGTGTGTGTGTGTGTGTGTGTGTTTCCCTGTTTTAATGCGCACGTTACACATGGCGTGTATCCACTTACAACACCAGAGCCACGCGGCCCCTCTCACATGCAGACAGCCGGTCAGGCGCAGTTTGAGCTACACACACATCTTGCACAGATACTGGGGGGAAAACCTGTGAACTCTTTACAGCTTTAACAAATATACATAAATATGAGGACATAAATTACAGTACGATATCGACAGCATCGAGGACATTGGTAACAGACTCGGGGCGGCCCCGTCCGACATCCAGCGGACTCTCTTCATTGCGTGCGTGAGTCTCAGGAGATGCTAGTGACATAACAACGCAGCGAGTCTCCATCCTCCTGACACGCTGAAGCTCCCCTAGGCCCACGGCCACTGTACCCACACACCCAGGCCACATGACCGCCCAGGCCACATGACCGTCTTCAGCAGCCTTTTAGTAACATATCCTTGAACACCTAATAGTGAGCAGGCATTCGTTTTAGGCTGGGTATTTGCTAGCGAACCAAATGAAAACAATCTCTGATCTCATTCATCTTAGTGTTAGTTGGAGGAACTTACATTACAAACAATCCCACATGTGATAAGTGCTCTGAAGGAAAAGAAAAGGAACCTGTGGCAGAACAAGAGGATGGTTTGAAGAGATGGAAGAGATGCGTGAGACAGGGTCAGCAGGCGAGGAGAGGAAGAGTTTGACGGGCAGAAAGAGAACCGTGTGTGCAGGACCTGAGGTGGGGAAAGCCTGCTGGAGTGTGGATATTGGAGGGAAGTGAGGAGAGCAGCCAGTCAGTAAAAACCTACCAAAAACCTTTCTACTGTTCTGGATGCTGAGCAGTTTCAGAGCGAGGTGGTAGCCATTGCGGTGCAGGGACAACAGTAGATTCAAGGTAAAACAAAATCATTGGGGTTCTGACAGATTGGATATGAAGTGAGGGAGAGAGGCATATGTTAAGTGTGACTCAGGCCGAAACCGGCTCAGTGGATAGAGCGTCGGTCTGCGGACTGAAAGGTCCCGGGTTCGATTCCAGTCAAGGGCATGCATCTTAGTTGCGGGCACATCCCCAGTGGGGGGTGTGCAAGAGGCAGCTGGTCGATGTTTCTCTCTCATCGATGTTTCTCTCTATCCCTCTCTCTTCCTCTCTGTAAAAAATCAATAAAAATACATTAAAAAAAAAAAAGAAAGAAAAGAAAAGAAAAATGCAATGAAAATTTAAAAAGACATGCTATATGCTCTTAAAAAAAAAAAAAAAAAAAGAGTGACTCAGGCCCTAGCCAATTTGGCTCAATAAATAGAGCATTGGCCTGAGGACTGAAGGGTTTCAGGATTGATTCTGGTCAAGAGCAGATGCGTGGGTTGCAGGCTCGGTCCCCAGTAAGGAGGCGTGCAGGAGGCAGCCAATCAGTGATTCTCATCATTGATGTTTCTATCTCTCTCCCTCTCCCTCTTCTTTCCTCTCTGAAATCAATTATATATATATATATATTATATATATTTGAAAAAGAGTGACTCTGGTTTCTGGTTTTCACAACCAGGTGGATGGTGCTTTTTGCTGAAATGAAAAGACTGTAAGAAAGGAATTTGAGAGGGAAGATTAAGACTTTAATTTGGGCATATCAGGTTGAGATCTGTGAGGCATGCAGGTGGAATCAAGTAGACAGTTTACTACATGAGTCTGGAATCCAGAATAGAGCTTTGGGCTAAAAGATGGAAATGTAGAAGTTGTTTGCTTTCGGGTGATATTTAAAATCTTTTGGATGCACACAGTTATTCAGAGAAAGGGTATAAAAAGAAATTAGGGCTCGAGATAGAGTCTTGAGGAACCTTCAACCTTTTGAGAATGTTCATAAGAGGAGATGCTAGCAGAAATGGCCAGAAAGATAGGAGAAATCCAGGAACATGTAATGCCATGGAGGCTGGGAAAGTGTTTCAGTGAAGAAAAATATGGCCATTGGTGCCACATGCCACTGAGAGGTCTGGTATGTCCATTGATTTTGGCAATGGAGAGGTTTTGCTGACTGTGGCAAGTGACAGACTTGATAAAGATGAAGTCAGGCTGGAAGGGCCCAAAGAGGGAAGAGAGGTGAGGAAGTAGAGAAGATCAGATCCACTTGAAATGACTGTTCTCATTTCTCTTTGCAGCACTTTCAACCTTCTGGCTTAGTATTAATAGGTTGGGTCTTTTCAAGCCTTTTTAAAATTCAGGAGGACGTTGTGTTTATTTTAACCAGTTTTTTTGAATCTCACTCTAAGAAGTGTTAATATCAGTTGGCAATTATTAGTCAGTTAGGTCAGGCAAGCACAAGACCTTTTCATTTTGTACTTGATTGTTTTATGACCATTTTTATATAGCGGGGCAATAATTTGATCAGTTATACACAATGCACTCATTCATTTCTTTACTCTTTCGGCAAACATGTATTGAATATATTCCCACGGTATGTTCCGGGCCAGTGGTCGGCAAACTGTGGCTTGCAAGCTACATGCGGCTCTATGGCCCCTTGAGTGTGGCTCTTGCATAAAATACCACGTGCGGGCGTGCACTTAGAGCGCAATGGAAACTTTGCAGCCCATGTGCAGAAGCTGGCTTTTGGCTCCCAAAAGAGATTTCAGTCGTTGGACTGTTGATAGTTGGCTCTTTTGACAAATGAGTTTGTTGACCACTGATCTGGGCTGAATGGGCAGGCCCTGGGGACTGAACAACTGCCTGTCTGGCTGTCTTACAAGAGGTTCTCAGTCTAGTGGGGAGCAGATAAAAAAAGTCAACCAACAGTGTTTGTAAATGAGAATTATAAATGCTATAATATTTGTTGCTTTTCTGCTAAGAGTATGCTAACCTAGAAAAGACCTAAGAGAGCATATAGTCCTATTCACTTCATTTTATACATAAAACATGGGTCCATAGAGATTAAGGCCACCGGTAGTTTTGGTGATAGAGCCATGCTTCACACTCTGGGCTGTAGGACTCCGTAGCCCGTGTCTTATGTTCACAACCAACCTTGCTTTCCTGTGTCCCTTCATAGCTCACTTAACCAAATAGAGATTTGGAAAAGGAACTGATTACCAATATAAATTTTGAGCTATTTCCTACTTTCTTCAGAATTTAGAAACATTCATAGGTTGCATTGCTTTGCTGTCCGACATGATTGCTGGGCAGACGGAGAAGGGAAAGTGATCAATACTGGCCAGGGTTGAGATAATTGGTTCAACAGCTAACTGGGAGTAAAGTGATCTGGGTTTTCCTCTCATCTGCTGTGTAATAAAGGCATAGAATTTATTAATTGATGTTTATTGTCAATGTTACTTAATGTTGATTATGGTATAATTTTGAGTTGTGGGGATTTAAAGATTTGTTGTAGCACATCATAGAGCAGAACTTTCCATCCAGTGTGCATTCACAAGGACTTCTGGGTATTGTGAATTGCTCTTATAGGCCCTCTATTGGTTGTCAGGGGAATTGAAACTATATTTGGGAAGTATGACCTGTGTTGGAAAATTGTATTTTTTGTTTCTTTTTAACAATTGAGGTCATTTCTTTTTTTGGGAAAAAAAAGAAAGAAGGAAAAATTTACTACTGAAAGGTTCTAGTACTGGCACAGCTAAATATTTCTTTGTTCAGATTGTATAAGATTGACCCTTTCCAAAAAAATATTTTAATTTTTAGGAGTTCTCAGAACTCTAAGCTTTTTATTGTTATGTGAAAACTGAAAAATAAGAAAATTGTTTTGTTTTATTTTTTTGAGGGAATTACCTGCTCCAGAATCCAAATTAGCTTTAAAAAAAAAAATTTTTTTTAATTTAAAACTTATATGTCCATTGTAGAAAAGCATCTAGTCAGCCACTTATACATCACCCCAAGACATCTTTGTTGATATTTGGTGTATTTCCTTCTAGTATTTCAGTACAGCTTTGGTTAACTTTTGAGATAAACTTTTCAGGACTTTCTGTACAGTTTTATATCCTGTTCACTTATAATAGTAGTGCAACCTTAGTATTTCCTGCAGGCACTGATTTTCTCAGAACTGGCAAGGCATTCTTGGAAAATATATGTGATTTTTTTTGTTTGTTTACATGGAAAATTCTCGTGTGTGTGTGTGTGTGTGTGTGTGTGTGTGTGTGTGTGTGTAGACAGACACCCATACATATGTAAGGATCAGAAACTGGTATAGTAAATGGTAACATAGAATAAATGTGGAATAAATTACCATGTTGTTGCCTAATTAATCAATGGTATTTATCATGTTAAAGCTAGCCCCTATCTGTAATATTAATCTTCTTTCTTATATTTAAAATTTGTATTTCTTTTTTTGTTGATTTTTTAAAGGTAGAGAGAGAGAGAGAAGCATTGACTTGTTTCACTTAATGATGCATTCATTCATTTATTGCTCCTTTTGTATATGCCCTGATCAGACATCAAACTGCAACCTTGCCATGTCGGGATGTAAGCTACTTTGCCAGGGCCTGCATTTCATTTTTACTTGATACTTTCTTAAAATAACAAAATTGAATAGCATATAAGTATTAGATACACATGCATAAATATAAGATATCCATGTATCCAAAAATGCATTAGACATTTGGCTAAGTTTTTTCCTCATATCTCTAAGGATGAAGCATTTTAATAAAATAAGAGAATTACTAAACTGCATTGTACATTTTGTGTTATGTGTAAATTGGAATTTTTGTAGGACTACAAGAATACTCTTAAAAACTAAATTCTAGATTTAAATTATTTGGTTGGTAAGTCTAATTGAAAAATTGGATATAAAAAGGGATTTATTCATTTGTGAGCAATGGCAAAGAAAGGGCAGTTTATAAAATAAAGTGATAATTTAGTTCTTTAAAAAAAATTTCACTTCTAATTTTGTGCACTAGTTTCTTTTTATAGCTTATATGCAAGCGAGAATTAAAATTGTCTAAATTAGGTATTCTTTTGGACATTTGATTTAGACTATTGTAAATTATCTTAGATTAATTTGGATAGGTATTTAATTTGATGAAAAATATTTTCAAATATTGGGGTGGTTTACGTTGTTGTACCTAACTAATTTTGGCCCTTTGGGAAGTTTTAAGTGATGAACATAGAAAATGCTAGCAAGAAACTTGAAATTCTGCATTTAGTTGGAGTCTACATAATTTTAACCTATCTACAAAGCGAAGGGCAATAGCTTATATTCCTTTGACTGTAAGTAAATCCTCTCACTCCGTGTGAACCAAACAAAACATGAGTAGTACTTTAAGTATGCTTTAATGATAAAGATGACAATATCACCCTTATTATTGTAAAAACATGTTCTGTGCGTCACATCAATACTTTACAATGCTTTTTCCAAATAAAAATGAATAGAGAATGTCATTAAACAAAAAGTAGGCCATCTCAAAGATAAGAAACAATAAAATAGGTCCTTTGTGAAGACCAGGCAAAATGAGAACGTTGGGAGGGCAATAAATGAAAAGGAGAAGTGAAACCGCCCATGACAGGCTCAGGACCAGAGAGCTTGATGCCTGCTCTGTGTGCAGAGCTAGCTTCTTTATTATTGTTTATTTTGAAGTTAAAATTAACGGGAGAAATAAAGACATGGCTCTCATTATAGAGGTATATTTCAAATATTTGAAACAGGATGCTTTTAATATCTTTTAGTTTTAGAGTCATTTTCAAAGCTATGAACAAACTCTTTAAATATAATCAGGCCTGGTTTTATGTTTATTGTCTTTAAGGAATTAAGTATAATGTTCTAATCTTAGACTTCAAATAGTGTGGGCAGAGCAATATCTTGGTATATTTCATCTTTTCATGTGACTATGTGAAGAAACAATAGAGAAAGGAAAAGTCAAATGGGAAATTGAGCTTTTAATTATCTTTGTTACTAGCCACTTCCCTTCCTTAGATTGAATGAAGAATCTTGGTTCATTAACCAACTTTTAACCCCACCCTTTTTTCATTTTGTACCTTATTTCTATTTGGCACATGGTTCTTGGAACGTTTGTATTACACATAGTCTGTGCACAGAATATTGTCCAAAAGGATCCTTATTTAGATGTGGCTTCACAGAGATATTTGCAGGGCTTCAATTACTACTCTATATAAATGTGAATTATTGATTTTTATTTTTTTTTAAACACTAATAGGTCGCTTTTAAAGGCAGGTTAGTAAATTTCCTATTGAATAGATTTCACTAAACGCATGCTTAATGAAGCCTGCTTAGTGAATATTCAGAAAACATTTTGACCTGGCTTCGTTTGGAGATTATAAAACTAATGAAAATTAAAGGCATATTATACCTTATTATGTCAATAGATGCAATATAATATGGCAACACAAGTCACAGTTGTAATTAATTTAAGGAGTAAACAGATTTGTATTTGCCTCTCTTATAGCTTGATTTTTTTTCTCTTTAAAATATTTCAAACTTGCAAATAGAAGGACTTACTATGCATGGAACGGATGTAAGCCACTTTAAACCATTGGACTTTGCAATTTTAGAGCACAAACATCTATCAGTTTACTAGTACTTCAGGAAGTGTTTTCCTATTAAGTTATTAAAACACTTCTCTCTTTTCCAACTACATTTTTGTGTAAGGGCAGATTTTCATCATACTTCAACCAACCTAAAGTAGCAGTTCAAATTCAGAAGCAGATGAGTGTCTCTGTCTTTTATTAAGATATGTTATAATATCGATGAACAGGTGATGTGTTTACTATTGATATATTAAAATGAATTATTAAGTATAAAATATTTGTTAATCTCTTGGTTTTACTTTCTAATATGCTAAATAAATACCAGTAGCTATAAGCCATATGAACAAAGTCTCTTTGAGCTCCTCAAGAATTTTAAGATATGAAAAGGGATCCTGAGATCAAAAATTGTGAGAATTGCTATTTTAATTCCTTGTGACTGAAAGTGTGGTCCCGGAAATCACTTGAACTGTGGATACTATTGTACTTCCTTCCCCACCGCATCCCTACTCCAATCAGAACTACAGTATAGCAATCTTCCTGGGATTCTCCCATACATTAAAGAATCCTTCAGGATCTTGCGGAAAGGGCTTCTGGCAGGGGAAGTGCCTCAGTAGAAGTCCAACAGGAAAGTGAAAACTCAGGGAGATTCCAAGAACCAGAGCCTTCGTTCCTAAAATGGTTTTCTCTGTTCAAGTATTGCCTTTTAGGAACGTATTCTCATACTGTTTAAATGCTTGGAATTGCCTGGAGGGCCATTTGAAATCTGGGCTCTGAGAGTAGGCTGGTCACTGAGGGAAAGAAGACCTATTGGAGACAGAGCCTGCAGCATTACTCAGAATTGTTCTTAGCAAAGCGTGTCTCTAGGCACATGCCTGTAACTGGAAGATATTTTATATGGTGTTCTCACCTCATCTCTGGTTTGCTCTTGATTCTGAAGATAACCACCATTGCTATAAATTTAAGGTAGAAAAATATAGACAAAAAAAAAATCCCACTTAAAGTTTAGTTGATATCAAAAGCATGCATGCAATCCAAGCGGATGATCAGTTGGGGGTATCATTTATGTAAAGCATTTGTGAAATTAACCAAGCTATGGCACTTCGGGGCAGAGGCAGACATTTTATGTTTTTAGTGGGGTTCGTGTTCAGTCTGAAACAAACTGTTTGGATTAAGTGTACAACCAGACAGTTTAATATAAACTGTTGTAACAAAATCTTCCATTTCTAAGCCCTAATAACTGTTTGTTTTCTTCTTGTTTTTAGGGTGAATCTGTAAAATATTTCCTGGATAACTTGGATAAACTTGGAGAACCAGTAAGTATTTTAACTGAGTGTTCAGTGCCATTTGAAAGCAATAGTCAGGATAATGATGTCAGGAAATTTAGAAAAAGTATATATCAAGCTGTTTACTTCTTTCTGTTTCCTAGTGACAGTATTGTGACTGTTCCACTTCATTTTTTTCTCCCTCTGCTATCCAGATCTCTGCCATTTCCTTGAAGAATTAATTTCCTGATCCATTGCTTTATGAAAGTAAAACTGTTTATAGAGAAAGAAGTTTATGTTTGAAAATGAGATCGCATATTATATATTCTACTTCACTGTCTTTTGGGGTTTTTTGTAAACAAAAACAGAAAGAACACAGTGAGTTTATTGATTTTGAAACCTTTCAGAACACGGTATTTTCCAGCTCGGGATCCCTTTGTGTTGAGTTACAGTGTAGGAAGGCTAGATACGGAAGGCCCAATGAAGGGACTCCATGTTGTAAGAGAAAGAGTTTGTGATTTTCCTGCCGGGTATCCCTCAGAGCCAGCAGCTCTCAGCTGGCTGTGGCTGGCCCTCGCCTGGGCCGCCGCGGGCAGAGCTACACTGTCTGTTCTCTATGTTGGATTCATGCAGAAGACACCACTGGGAGAAAGGTTCTGTGCCTGGAAAATGTTTGGAAGCCATTGCCTTGGAGTCATTTGTTACCTGCTAAGTTTAGTGCAATTCCGTTTTCCTCATAAAGCTAATTTCTGTTACAAATTTTAGTATGATCTCATGGATTCTTTGAGATATTTAACTTTAAAATATAGCTGAAGGAAGCACAACATGAAGCCCATTACAAGCAGGAAAGTGACATGCCGAAGGATGCAGGACACGTGAAAAGGTGCCTCTTTTCACTCTAGCAGGGCGATTTTTGTATTTTCCCTTCTTTTGTATTTCGCTAAATTGTATTTGTCTGCCCTTAAAACCAGTGTTTTTCTCCTGCCTGTTTCTTACATACAAATGTTCCAGAAGTTGGTATCCCCATATTTATCTGTTTTTACTCAGTCCACATCAGTGAAACTTTTTATTAAGTCTTATCTCATTGTCACTTTTCCATCTGGTCAGGTTATAAGCCTTAAAAAAAATTGAGAAGCCTTAGTAGATAAACTAATTTTTAAAGAGTTTTTTTCCGCCAAAACTGGTTTGACTCAGTAGATAGAGCGTCGGTCTGCGGACTGAAAGGTCCCAGGTTGGATTCTGGTCAAGGGCATGTACATTGATTGCGGGCACATCCCCTGTGGGGAGTGTGCAGGAGGCAGTTGATTGATGTTTCTCTCTCATCGATGTTTCTAGCTATCTATCCCTCTCCCTTCCTCTCTGTAAAAAATCAATAACATATTTTTTAAAGAGTTTTTTTCCCCATGTTTTCCAATCCAGACACTGACCTGCTCTTCTTTTTATACTTTACTTTTTTTTCTTTAAACAAAAAAATTATATAATTTCAGAGAGGGGGAGAGAGAGAGAAACATCATTGATAAGAGAATCATTAATCGCTATCTCCTGCACTATAAGGGAACGATCCTGCAACTTGGGCTTTAGCTCTGACCAGGAATCAAACTGTGACCTTCTGGTTCAAAGGTGACGTTCAACCACAGCCACAGCGGCTGGGCTGACCTGCTCTTCTTAACCTGCCTTGTCACATAGTCCTTCTTTGAGCACACCGTTTAAAATAGGTCTCTCCTCTTATTTTCCAGGGTCAGCCCTTGCTTGTTTCAAACCTCCTTGCTCTTATTACTGCAGTTGCTTTACTTTGTTCTGTGCTTATTGTAAACTCCAGTAAATTTTGTACTAACTGCTGGTGTCTTACATTGAGGACAGCTCTGAGGCTACATCTGGAATGGAAAGGAAAAGGTGCTGTACTCAGTTGGTAGCTGTGAAGGAGGGAAGGGCTGTAAACCTGGGTGCACTGCACACCGGCCACCCATTCTGTACATATTAGACAAGTCCCAGGATTGCATTTGCTTCTCCATCCCTGGCTATGGCAGCAGGGTCATTGACGCCCTTCTGTGTGCCCAGCCCCGTGCCCCTCTGGTAGGTGGGTCAAGGACATGGGTTCTGCAGCCAGACCACCCGGGTTCCAATCCCAGTGCTACCACAGACTGGCTCTGTATGACTTTGGGCGTTTCTAAATCATAGTTTTTTCATCCATGTCATAGGTATAGTAAGAGAACCGACCGCATAGGGTGTGTGACAATTAACATGAAATAAACCCCCTGTCTCAGGCTGCCATAACAAAATACCAGAGACTGGAGGGCTTAAACAAAGACATTTATTTCTCACAGTCTGGAGGCTGGAAGTCCAAGATCAAGGGGCTAGCTAAGGAGGGTCATGAAAGGCAGTCAGGAAAGTTCAGATCTGATGGAGTATGGGTGGTTCCGAACTCACGATGCAGGAGGGGTCGGTCTGGGTGGCTTAGAGATGGAACCAAGAGGTGCAAGGCATTCAAGGCAGAGAAATAGTGAAGAGATGGTGATCCGTGCCTGAGATGGAAAAAGTGGGGACAGTAAGGAGGAAAGGAAAAATGGAGGAAAGATTCAGAGAAGGGACAAAGAGGGTTTAATGTGAGATAGGAGATGATAGAGAGGCTTAAAGAAAGACATTGTTGGAGGGACTGGAAGTAGAAAGGAAACTTTCCTTGGTTGGACTTGGAGGAGTTGGTAAGAAAGAAAATGAGTGAGTTTTCTTATTGAAGACATTGTTTTGTGAATAGATTATCAAGTACAAATGAATAGGGAGCATTTAAAAATGAGATTACCTGCCTGTCATAGCCTTCTTGATTTCCCTCTCTACAGCAAGTGGCCGTGGTGGTGGCAGCTGTGGTGGTGGCTGGCACAGTAGGAACTGCTAGATAGAAACATAAAATGTGCCAAATATGACTCTTAAGCACTTCATTCCTTTAACTCATATAGTGCTCACAGGAATATTACTATATTTTACAAATGAGAAAATTGAGACGGAGAGGTTAAGTGACTTGTCCAAGATCACACAGCTAGTATTAAAGCTGACTTTAGAATTCACATTCCTAATCAGTATTACTACTACCCCATTTAGCATTAAATGACATTGTCCTGTGTTTTATGCTTTTTATGAATTAGCCTTTAGCTTCCTAACTAGAGTGTTAGCTCCTAATTAAGGCAATAATAAATATGTTTTCATATTTTTGGAATTAGAACATTTTTAAGAAAGGACACTTCAGGGCTGGCATGTTTCTAAGGCATCTGGCACACAAGTGCACTGTGAATTAGTACCACCTTCTTAGAAAGCAGTTGGGCATTTAGTGTCCACGGTTATCAAAATATTTATAACCTTTGACCTCATAATTTTATTTCCAATTATTTAGATGTTTGCATGAGAATTTTAATTGCTGCACCTCTATTAATTAAAGCAAAAAAGTGGAAACAACCTAAATGACCACTAGTAGGAAAATGTTTATGTAAATCATATCACATTAATCCATCGATGTAAATAGGTATGTGAACAGCAGCTAGAAGGAAACATGGAAATGCCAACACTTTAGAGTCCCAGAGTTACTTAATAAAATGACTATTGATTACAGAAAACTGTGAACTGCCTCCTGTTTTTTCTTTACTTCAACACTCTATTTTCAGGAGATAAGTTTACATTCGCATTATAAGGACACTTTCAAAATCATATTACATATTTGGAAAGACATAAAATGCAGCATTGCAAATAACAATCAGCACTGTTTTAAAAACTTGCCTTGATTCTAAAAAATCATTGATGATGAGAATTTAAGGCTCTTCTGTTCAGGGTTGCCAAAAAGCTGTGTCAAAGTTCTGGAAAAATACTAGCCTGAGAAGAGCGAGTTATACTGCATAACGAGGGGCACTGGTACGGTAGCCGGTGACTCTGAGACCAGCCACTTCCGTCTGCCAGGGTCTGGTAGTTGACTGAGCTGTTCACAGAGAAGGGCTCATTTGATCTTTGCATAAACTGTCCCTCAGAGGCAGGTAGGCAAGCCATCGTCACCTTCATTTCACAGGCAGAAGTGCTGACAGAGTAAATGACTACTTGTGTCAGTAGATGAGACAGCTGGAACACAGCTACACCATACCCTGGAAACAGACCCAGAAAGTGGCCAAATAAAGTCTGCTAACTAGTTACAGTAAAGGAAGTGATTTCTGTGTCGGTAGTATAGCAGCGATGATAACATGGAGTGACAGCCTAGAGTGTCTTAGTCGTTGAGGCGGTAAAGGAATGTTTAGTGTGGAATAGAGAGAGGCAGAGCCTAGAAGTAACCCTCCTGAATTGAAATTCAGACTTTAGGAGCAGGTGTGTGTATGAGCAGTGAGGTCACCTTGGCTGAAACTACGAATGGGTTATGGTGGGGAGTTATACTGAAGGCAGATACACAGCAGTTGGTGGGAAAGACCTTACTCAAATTTGAGCAGGAATGAAAACAAATAGGTGCTGTCCATTTGAAATGAATTTTGAACCAGTCATGGTACACTAACATTTTAATATATTTGGCATTGTATAATTGGAATAATAATAATAGTATTGATGCTTTAGTGTTATTAAGAGGTGTTGACATGTTAAAAATATAATTTTGTTTGCATATCCATTCACTAGACTCTTAGTAGAACATTAAAAATTCTAATTCTGTATTCCTGAGTATAAAAGTTTTTTTTGTGTGTTTTTTTTCCAGGATTATGTTCCATCACAACAAGATATTCTTCTTGCCAGAAGGCCCACCAAAGGCATTCATGAGTACGACTTTGAAATTAAAAATGTTCCTTTTAAAATGGTTGATGTAGGTGGTCAAAGATCAGAAAGAAAACGTTGGTTTGAATGCTTCGACAGTGTGACATCAATACTTTTCCTTGTTTCCTCAAGTGAATTTGACCAGGTGCTTATGGAAGACCGACTGACCAATCGCCTTACAGAATCTCTGAACATTTTTGAAACAATTGTCAACAACCGGGTTTTCAGCAATGTCTCCATAATTCTCTTCTTAAACAAGACAGATTTGCTTGAGGAGAAAGTGCAAATTGTGAGCATCAAAGACTATTTCTTAGAATTTGAAGGGGATCCCCACTGCTTAAGAGACGTCCAAAAATTCCTGGTGGAGTGTTTCCGAAACAAGCGCCGGGACCAGCAGCAGAAACCCCTGTACCACCACTTCACCACTGCTATTAACACGGAGAACATCCGCCTGGTGTTCCGTGACGTGAAGGATACTATTCTTCATGACAACCTCAAGCAGCTTATGCTCCAGTGATGTACAAAAGACTTGCTGTTTTAATACCTTTTTGTCTTTTTTATTGTTTTCTGTTTGTTTTGTTTTTTTAAAAATAGTTTACAACAGGAATTAGAAAAAATCTTGATGCTGTGTTGAAGTTCTTGGAAATCTTAGTCCTTCTTCTGCGGACTCTGGTTTGTGGCTGAAAGCTGCTGAATAACAACACATTGCCAATATCTGCTGAAGTTTAGGCTTTGGTCGGTTTTGCTATGGCTTCCATTAGAGTGGAGTTGTAATTTCCTGCCAAACCTCAGTCGAGGTATAGTTCAGGCTTTAACTCCTTCCACTTTTCAAACTGAATTCTCCTGTAGTGCCAAGTATAGCAGGTGTCCTTTGAGTATTTGTAGTATGAGGTTAAGAGTATTCAATTCTAAAACAAATAAGATACCTTTTGTCTGCCTGACACATAACTCAACACTCATGCCTAGCTTTATGGTGACCTATTTTGAAATGGCTGTTGGAAAAAATTTTGATCTTAGGAATGGCATTCTATAGACTCACCAGATTTAGCCTTCATGTATTTTCCATTACTTATATGCACAACAGTTGTTTTGTTTTAAAATTTCTGTGGTTCCTAAAGGTAATGTTTTTAGTGTTTTAAAGTTTACATAAGGATTTCTGGTTTGATGCTAAGGAAAGTTCACAAATGGTACGGGAGAGCAAAAGGCATCAAGTGCCATATGTAATGTTTTGGTCAAAGTTATGAGTGAAATACAATTTACCCTTTTCATATTTAAATATCATGTAATAAAAGTGCCGGATGTGAAACATTCTGGCCATGGCAGTAACTAAAAATTGCAAGCAACTTGATAACAGAACTTTATAAATAAACATAACCTTTCCAGATGTTATGTGTTTTACTCACAGATTTTAAATCCCGTTTCACAGGATTTGGGGCCTTACTGTAGGAAACCATTTTATACCATCACAAACATCTTTCTTTTGCTCTCCTGTCTATTCCCATCAACTCAGAGAGTGGCATTTTGGGTATTTTGTTGTTGTTGTGGTTGTTCATTTGGAGCTTGCAGTATTTTTGTATCAAACTATTCAAGAAGTTTGATACAAATTCCTACTCATTCTTGGTATGTCACTAAAAAAAGCACAGTATGTGCATGTTTGTTTATGAAATTCCAGCTTTATTGAAGTGCATTTGGAATGTTTTAAGGATATTCCTGAGAACAAGAGATAGTTTTTTTAGTTCACACCAAAATCTGATTGCATTTGACCTCCCCCCATTTCTCACCAAATGAAAACATATGTACCCACGCGGTAGCTTTTTGGTTCCAGATACACTCACAGCAGACTCTTCAGAATGGCTGGCTTGCAGTACTGAAAATCCTGGCTTGCAGGGTAAGTGCAGTGTTGGAATTAGATTAGAGAAAAGATGGACAAGGCTGGGGATAGCTTGGAAGTGGCAGCTTTTCTCCTTTTCCTGAAAATTGTGATTAAGATGTGATATCCGTCGCTTTACTGTAAAGCTGACTGGGTTCTCAGGTATTTTCTTGAAAGATGGGTGAACAGTATGAATCACCCACCATTAAGGCAATGGCTCTTGGTCTGTCTTGCTGTCTAATATGAGACAAGGGCTTTTCTCTGAGCTAACCAGGGATTGTTCTTGCATACCTGACTTTTCTTGCATTTGCAGTTCGATCTATAGTCACTTCCAGTATTTTCATGCCTTGGTGATAAATGACCTCCAAACCTGTTGCCCACATGATAATGCAAGTGTCCATGCATATTTAAACATCTAGTGCTTCTTGCCAAAAAGAATACTTTGTTAAAGTCATAGTTAGACTGGACTAGGTGGTGAAGAGTCTATGTGTAGATTCAGCTAATATGGAATGGCCAAACCATTTCAGCGAGGGGCTAAAGTGAATTCCCTATGTGAAGAAGACACATGGTCTGTTTATTTTATATTTTAAGATTTGTGACGTGAACCATAAGTATTGCTTGACAAAGCAGAAATCACCAGTTTCCCTATATTGGCTACTACCAAGAAATGTTGAAACACAAAACAGATACGGTATTATTTTGGGCAGTTGTGACTTTCTTTCCTGATGTGTGTGATGTCTCATTCAACCGACTTTTATGGTAAAATCTAGAATACACTTTGAGGCAGTAAATTACTTATATTTAATGGCAGGTTTGTTTAGACATTCAGTAGAACTATGAAGTTCAATCTGACTGCTTTAGTCCACTCTTTTTATATACTGTATTTTTAAACTGGATGAAGGAGTCGTTATACCTATATCATGCAAACCAAATCCTTTTGAAATACCACTATGTGAAGATGGAAGTGACGTTTACTGAACAAAATTAAAAGGGTGCTCATAGTTATGCCAATTTACCCCTAATCTCTAAAAAAGTGACTTAAAGTTCTTTCATGTGTCAGATTTTCTTAGACTTCATGATTATTTGGAATAAGATGTGCCTAATTTTCTTACATTCTGTTCTTAAATCTGGATGTTTTCTCATTTAATTTTAAGAAATGCTACAAAATATCCTCGTTGACCTTGCATAACTTTATACAATAGTATACAGAGTTGCCTTATATTATAAATCAAAGTACACCACAAATTTGGGCCTTGATTTTCATATAGGAAAAGGGTTTTGTCAAATGTTTTCTGAAGATCCAAATAATCCAAGGCGTGCCTCTGCTGCTTAAGTATTATTTTTAATAACCTGAATCATTGCTCTCTGCCAAATACTGTGTTAAGTTTAAATCTTAATTTCAGTCTTGTCTGGAAAAGGCACTGGATGGCTGGAGCGCAGCCGCAATCCGAGAAGGCAACGTGAGTGAAAAAGGGTCATTCGTTTTCGCTTTGTTTTCTTCGACGGTTCATTGGCATGCATTTTATGAAGTAAGGAACCTCTGGTGAATTGCTCTAGTGAGGTTGTTTAGGGAAATCCTTGTTCAGTTGGTGGCAGTGGCTGGCTTACAGTAGGAGGAATTAAGATGACCTTAGTACCAGAAATGACTAGAAATATTAATTTAGATTTGACAAATCATATGTCCTATAATTTTTTGTAAGAAGGAATAAATAAATCTTAACTTCCAATGTATACCCAAATACTTGTATTTATGCTTTTGATGAAATGTATTTTCAGCATTAATACACTTATCCAGTTATGCCTTATTTAGATGAAGAATAAAGTTACCAAGTTAATGTTCTGAAACTCAAATCACTGTTTGAGAAGCCCTCAAATTGGTGCTTTCATTATATAATGATACATTTAGACAAAACCCCAAACCAAGCCATTTGCAACAAGATTCTCTTCATTGCAATTTGTAGCAATGTTATTTCTGTATATGTAATGAGAAGGCTAAATTATCAGTGTTAACTCTTGTTTGAATTCATGGAATCATGCCTGTAAAGTTCAGTTCACTATTTGTAACAAATTCCCTAATAAATCTAGAGAAAGTTACTCTGCTACCTTTTCATTTCTTCTAGTTTTATTTGAGGAATCAGAACAGAAATTTTGCATATGTCTTTTTCATTTGGAGATCTACTTAGTGCTGAGCCACTTTATCTCCTGTCATATCAACAGGTTAAGTTCCATTAGTCACCGACAATCTGGTCATGTGCTGCTTTACTAACAGAACTGATTTATTGTGGGGTTTATTTTTTAAATGATAGGATACAGATTGGCTTTTTGTCCAGTAAACATGAGGAAGGGAGGGATTGTATGAGAGTGAGTGTGTATGTTTCTCCATGTCCCAAATAATACATACCCATTATTTTATGGTACGAGGCTAGGGCTTAATGAGTTTATGCTAGAAATTGAAGTATAAGACTAAACCTGAACATTTTAAACAAGTTGGCTTTCATGGCTCTTTCATGGCTTTTTCAAGTACCACCATGTTGATATTAGCCTTAGGTGGCAAGTGATTCTTAACATCATATGGAGTACAGTGTTTGTACCACTAGCATTCTTATGTCTGTACTTGAATGTATAGTTAGCATTGAAATAAATATGTTCATTCTTATTTCATCCAGGTCTAATCATCTGATTTCAAATGCCAGAGCTTATATTGACCAAAAAAGCATTAATGATAGGGCATTGTTTTCCGAGTTGATAAGAGGTTTTGAGACATATTCAAATCTGTTGATAATGATCATTTCCAGATGGGTCAATGTATGCTGATCACTATGCATAAATTTTCAATCAGTGAATATCATGATAGAAATAGGCTACTTTCCTTGGGTTTGTATTTTAAAAGCTTATATGTTTCTTGCCATAGTAAGTGATGCATTTGTCCTCAGTCACGCCTATTTGATGGTACGGTGGCGGTGGGGTGGGAGGGATGTTAATTCATGGAAAGTATATGTAAAAATGCAACAAACTAACATTCCCCGTTTTTGTTTTACCTCTTAAAGCAGAAGTAGAAAACGTTTTCACTGGCTTTTCTGTACAGTACTACTATACCGGGGGTAGAGCTCATTTACCACAAAGAGCCTTATCAAAAAGTATATTTTGTAACAACCTCATAATACTGTACCTAACCAAACATGCTTTGTATTAGCTCTGTATAAAAGTATTTGTGGCTTAGGATTTATATATATATATATATATCTTTTTATAACTTTCCAGGAACTAAGCACATTATCTGATACTGTAAATTATTTTCTGTCAGTGCTTTAGTACAGGATTGGCAATAAATTATTTCTAAAGGAGGTCTGAAAGTGACAAGAACAGTTGGATTTTATAAAATGAGTTGCTAGTTGTTAAGGCTTTTTACTTTTGTACATATTTTGCAGAATTTTTGCCTCTTGCTTTTAATATTTGCTTTGTAAAGATTACTGACATTTAATAAACATTTATAAACTATTCAATACTATGATGTTATTTAAACTATTTGCTAAATGTAAAATGTGAAGCTGGCATTTATTTAAAATTGGAAAGCAAACGTTTCATCTGGTGACTTTGAAGCACAGAAATCTCTAGTGATACTGTGCCTTAGCATTACTCTGTAAACGTTTCCTTACTAAAGGTGGAGGTGTGGACTTCATCCATGGAGCTTCCCAGACTCTTACTACGTTTTGATGTGGGAGTTCTCTGTGATCCTGTTACAATTGCTGAAATTGGCAGGATGGTGTGTCTGGGCTCCTAGTTTGTCCACCTGCAGAAGTAATGCTATTGTGTCTTTTGTCCTGAAATGGTGTTTTAAAAACAAACATGCTACCACCCAGTTTTATATTTCAATACGTTTTATTTTACAGAAAAAAATGCAGAGATACTAGAACTCCCCTGCTCTCCCTCCCCTTTATAAGTTTCTCCAAGTAACACTTGGCATTCTCATGGCACATTGGTCATAATTACTGAACCGACATGAACACTTAATATTAACGAAAGCCCGTTCTTTATTCCGATTTCCTTAGTTTTTCCCTATGTCCCTTTCTGTTCCAGATTCCATCCAGGATAACATGCTTCATTTAGTTGGCATGTCTCCAGGCTCCTCCTGACCATTGCTGTTTTCTCAGCATTTCCTTGTTTTGATGGCCTGGGCAGTTCTGAGGAAGAGGCATACTGATCAGGTACAAGCATATCTTTATTGCACCTCGCAGATGTTAAGGCTTTTTTTTTTTTTTTTACAAGTCAAAGGCAAGAGCCTCCACCAGCAAGAGCTCACTCGTTTTACTGTGGTGTTCTGGAACTATCCTAGAGGTATACTGTTTTTTCTAGATTATCCTTTTCATGGGATCTTTCTGATTTATTTATTTTTTCTCATGATTAGACTGGGTTAAGTGTTTAGGGACCACAGTGATAAAGTACCATTCCCATCAAGTCCTATGAGGCACACTACTCACCTTTTCCCTTTACAACGTCAGCTAAATGAGAAGGTGTTAAGTAAATGTTGGCATATTTATACCTTTTCTTCGCTGGCATAGGATGGAAGCTGAGCATGTACTTTTCTTCCCCAAAGTAGATCGAAGGGTCTTTCCCCACAGTTGGGATTGCAAAGCAGGTGGTAATGGCCGGGTTCCAGGCTGGTTGGCTTGAGGCCTTTCTGGCAAATTAAAAATTCTATTCTGAGGCCTCACCATTAACACTCTTCACGGTTGGTCCCAAGAGAAACTGAGAGAAAAGTTTGGACATAAAAAAAAATACCTTCAAATCTAAAAATGTGTAGAACTCTGTAGGTTGAAAACAGGTAATTCATTAAAGGCTTTCTTCTAGAGATTGAAGATCTTTTTAATTGACTCTCAACGGAGCATTTGAATCGCCAAAACAAACCAAAAATTCTTCTTTTCTTAAGTTATTGCTGGAACAAAGCAATACTCATCGTTGTCAAAAGAAATTACTAAAACTCAAACTATTTTCTAGGAAAGTTTTTGCCCAATCATGGTTCCTTGGCACCATCACACCATTAACACAGGATGTTTTCTTGAAATTACCTGTTCCACTGCCCCAGTGTGCCTTGTTGGGAGGGAAAAGAGACTGGTCTCAAGAATGCAGGAAACTCAAGAGTTTGTAGGATAAACCAGAGTTTTGTGTTGGTGATGGGAAATTTGGCAAATCCTCAAAAAACAACTGACCGGGACAGTGTTTTAAAATTCACATTGTACATTTCCCTCAGATTAGTGGGGTACCTGAAATACAGTCATGAAATGGGTATGAGGAAAGTCTGAAAACACTGCAGCTCTTACACAAGCATCTCTTTCAAGTACATCCAGAGACAAGGCCCGAACAAACATTGCATACAAACTAACAACCGGGCGTCTGTGTGAAGCTGCCTTTGTTGGCCATGAGAAGACTGAGGCAAATTGTGGCCACAATGAATATTTATACTGGGTGGAGGGGCGTGTAGATTTTTCTTTTCTCCGTGAAGGTGCATGAGAGGGAACACTAGGAATGAGGCGTTTTTAAAAATTGATCATTCTCTTGCCATTAACTACACTGCAGCTTTAGACTTAGGCTTGCTGTCAAGTGTTGAAGAGAGAATAAGTTTATAAGATAAAACTGAAGGCCAAACACACTGGCCTTGGGAGAGAAGTGCAGTTGTGTGTGTGTGTGTGTGTGTGTGTGTGTGTGTGTGTGTGTGTGTATTTTTTATTCTACACAGAAAATTCTAGTTCTTGTTAGCTTTGTAGGATATAAATAGCTGGTTTCATTAGAACTTTATTTGGAAGAGGAAGAAAAAAAGAGCGCCCAAGGCTTAGCAATGTTGATGAAATCTTTTATTAAAGCAAATTTTGCACATTCAATCCTGGCATATAGGTAGCAGGTTACAGTTTGGGGGAAGATGCTGTAAATCATAAAAGAGAAATATATTAAGAGTAAGGACTGGCCATCCAACCACACAGAACTAACGAGCATCAATTTAAGACAAATAAACTGTAGGGCATAACCCTTTTCAAAGTGCATATGACTTGTCAGTGGCACAGGAAATTTTCAAACTGCACATTTAAGGCATGGAGTCTTTACCTTTCCAACCAACACTCCAGCTAAGCTAGACCACTGTTTTCCCATACCTCTTCTCTCTGGCCTTGCCTCGGGCACATTTGACTCATCCTTCATGGCTCCCTTCCCATCCCCCATCCCCAGATCTCCTGATCTCTACCAACCCTGAGGCTAAAGGCCCTTTTCTTCCCTTGAACTCTTATCCCATCTTATTCTTCTCTCAGGCACTTGAAAGGCTCTCCCTGGCTGTAAGCCACCTGGGTTCTTGTTTGAGCCCCTCTCCTCGATTGTGATGTGAACTTTTTAATGGTTCACAGGTGCTCTTCCTAAGTTCCCTGAGTGCCTAACACCCCAGGCTGGTGGTGAGAATAGCCTGCACAGCCTCTATTTTTTATTTTTCATCTTCACCTAAGGATATGTTTATTGATAGAAGAAGGGAGGGAGGGAGGGAGGGAGAGAGAGAAACATTGATGTGAGAGGAGAGAGAAACATTGATCATTGCCTCCCATGTATGCTCCAACTAGGGATCAAATCTGCAAACTTTTGGTGCACAGGACAATGCTCCAACCAACTGAGCCAGCCGGCCAGGGCCAGCCTCTGCTTAAGAGACTCAGCCAGGCTGTGCCTGGAGCCTGAGAAAAGCAGACTGGAGGGCCGTGAGAACGCCGCCCTCCCAGTGTGGGCTGTGGCTTTCCAGCTAACTGTTGACTAGCAGGAGGAGTGGCCTGATTAAACTGATTATCAGCGATGAGGAGATGGAGCTAGATGACACCCATGTTCTTGACCACATTCAGGTTCTTCAAAGTCTTCTAGAATACCCCAACTTGCAGCAGAAATGGTTTGTAGCATAATGTAGAATTACAGTCAATAATACAAAGTTTCTATGATGAGATCTTCAGTTTTTTCTGAGGGGAAAAAAGCAAAGGGAGGGACTTCATGGGAGAAATGATAAGTATCTTAGAGCACCAAGGGTACTTACCCTTGGTGTGTGGTTTTTAAATTCACTCCAGTGCGGTTTTTTCCTGCACTCTTCCTCATGGAGAATTTCTGTAGGTATTTTTCTGTAACCCAATCCAACTGTAGATATTCAAGATCACATTTGTCTTGCTGAGTTTTAAAAGTCAGAGTGTGATTGCCTGAAAACTCGGGAGATTTCAGGTCCATTTGTTTCATCGTCCCTGTCCAGTTGGGCCTGCTGTAAGGTACCACGGCCCGATGGCCTACAGCAGCAGGGGTTTGCTCCTCGACCTTCTGGAGACTGGATGTCTGAAGTAAAGGGGCAAGCGTGATGGGGTTTGCACACGTTTCCTCACCCCACAGCCCGGGAGCTTCTGGCCTCCTAAGGGCACTGGCTCATTCATCATGTTGAAGCCTCAACCCCAAAGCCACCACATTGGGGCACAAATATTCAGTCCGTAAGAGTCACCAAAACATCATCAGATTGGCTTGAATCCTGCTTGATTTTCTTTTTTTTCCTCCAACAACCTCCTTCCTGCCCACCCCACCCCTCTTCCCCTGCCCCTGCCCCCCAGGGACCGATACAGGGATAAGAATCCAGAATTCCTGACCATCTTCTGTTTGACACCGTTTTTGGTATAAATTTTCTCCATGTTCATACGCTACCCAAAACCAACACTTCTAACCTACTACTCTGTCACAAGCACCATACATAAGTTTGGTGTTTCTGTCTTATCAGTTTTCCCCATATGTTTGTTGGATGTCCCAAAAAATGTGTACACACACTTTGAATAATTATAAAGGCAGGGCTTATTAGAATACATTCCATTTTCAAAATTGACCTATCGGCTATTGTTAAAGTACGTATGCATTTTGGGGGGACACCCTGCATACTAGTGGATTCATTAACATGTCATTAGCATAAGCCCCAATGGTAACGGTTTTAGATGGGTGCATATGTCCCTTGGGGCCTATCTATAACTTTCTACTTGACCCTCTTGCCCACATAGGGGCTGTGAACTGTTCTCACAGAAGCAAAAGTGGCGACACCCACTTAGTTTTCACATTCCTAACAATCAAAGTGCTACTGAGCCTGACTTGTTCTTCCAGACACGAGTGAGCTGGGCTCTGAAATTCTCCAGTGTCCTCCTAAAATCAGCATCTCAAAGGCCTTCCATGTTTTCGTAGACGTCGAACCGCCCTTTCCTGCAGCACCATAGAACAGAACAGGAAAACTGAAAAACCGATCTTGTGTTTTGTGGGTTAGTATATGGTATGCATAATTCCCAGTTTGGTGGTAAATACTTTTCCCCGATTAGTCATAGAGGTCATAAGATTTCATTTTTGCATTGTAAGGTTACACTTTGCTTAAGTTTTATCCCTGTGTACCTAGATTTTGGGGTGTGTTGTTGTTGTGTTGTTAGTTGTGTGTGTCTGGGGACATTCTCTGGCAGTGTAGGGCTTGTGTCCAAGGGTGTCCATGTAATTATTTACAAAAGGCAGCTCAGAACTATCGGTGAGCTTCCATTTCAAACCTCAGACCTTTTTATTCACTGGTGACTTAATTCTTGTCTTTATCATAGTCCTCATGTAAGCAAGACTTCTGTAGCACTGTGCAAATGAGAATTGAGCTTTCACTGGCACATGAAAAGATGCTCTCAAAGTGATTAGCCGACAGGAAAATGCAAATCAAAACCACAGTGAGATAACCACTTCACACCTAACAGGATATCTACAACCAGCAAAAACCAAACCTATGCACAGTAATAAGTATCGGTGAGGCTGTGAAGAAATGGGCAGCCTCGTCCATTGCCGGTGAGATGTAAAGTGGCACAGGCCCTTTGGGAAGTTGGGCAATTTCTCAAAATGTTAAGCAGAGTTACTATGGGTCCAGCAATTTCAGTCCCAGGTATGAACCCGAGGGAATTGAACACATCCATACAAAAACTGGTACATGCATGTTCATAGTACCCAAAAGGTGGCAACAACTCAAATGTCATGAACTGGTGGACGGATAAACTAAAAGCGGCATAGCTATACAATGGAATGTTATTTTGCATTAAAAAAAAAAATGAAGGCCTTGATTCATGCTACAATATTGAGAAACCCTCAAAGCATTAATATGCTAAGAGAAAGGAGCCAGGCACAACAGGACCTCATCTTTACAAGTATAATCATAACCATTTGTGTGAAATGTTCGGAGCAGGCAGAACACAGATTGGTGGCAGCCTGAGGCTGGCAGTAGCGGAGATGGGGCGTGAGTGGACACTGGGGGGAATGATGATGGCCTTTTCAAACTAGGTTGTAGTGATGGTTGCATAACTGACTACACTAAGAGCCCCTGAATCGCCCTTTTAAGTTGGTTGATTTTATAGTATATTGAGTTCTAAAAATAATGCAAGAATGTGAACCTTCAGTCACCCCACACAGTTTGCAAAGCAAGGTTGAAAATACACACCAAAATGTTAACTTCTTGGTTTTCTGGAGTGATGGCAATCAAGACATTTTGTCTTCTTTACACGTTTCTGTTTCTTAAATGTTTTACAAAGTGCATCTGTTATTTTTATATTAAGAAAGTAAATCAATCAACATTTAAAAAGCGAAAGAGCAGCCTGCAATGGGCCAGCCATGTATAAGCCTCTCTGTGCTTGCTCAAAAACTGCTGGTCTGGTTCGCCTGGTGTCTCAGTCATACATGTATAATCACTTGTTTCCCACCCTGCCCTAAAGAATAGGCCACAAGCTTTCGAGGCAGAGGTCCCTGTGTGGATCCCATTACCCTCTCCGTGCCCGCAGTCTAATAGCTTGCTAGATACCTGTACATGCTCAAAATAATATTTGCAGAATGTAACTGAAGTTATGCAATGTCAACTATGTCACCTATGGGCTAGAGACTGGTGATAAGAACATGATCCAGTTACAGAATTGAATTTAACATGGTCACAATCTAGGTGGGGTAGGCGCATATGTCTGAAACCAAGACATGCAGTAATAAGTGCCACTCAGGAGCACTAGATAGTTACCTCAGAGAAGGGCAGCTACCTCCGTCCAGACAGAATCAGAAACACTTGTGGAGGAAAAGGCATATGGGCTGAGCCTCTGAAGATGACTTACATAGATCTGGACAAGAGACTGCGTGCCTGTTGGATAGAACAGCATAGAAAGGGCACTGGAAGTAAAGAGGAGAAACAGCTCATTCTTCAATAGGGGAAACAAAAACATGGAAGGCTGTGGTAGAAGAAGAATACAGCATAAGGCGTTCTAGGCAAAGGGTACAGCATGTGCAAAGGCACTGGGGCATGGAGGAGCTTACGAGTGGGGGTGAGGGGGAGCAGCAAGAACCCTCCCTGAGAGATCGTCAGAGACAGATAAAGCAAATGGGGAAATATTAGTTGTTCATTATGCTATTCTTTCAGAATGTATGTTTGACATTTTTCACAGTTAGAAAAAAACAACACCTCATTGAGGTGGTGATGTAAGTGTGGAAACAGCTTCAAAGCCTCGGCTGGAGTGGGGTGCATACCAGAAGGCATGCAGGGCGGAGCTGTGGCAAACCCACCGCCTCTGGATGCTTTCATCTCAGCCATAGTCCTCCTGGCCATGCAGCCCCGGGGCCTGCCTTTGTGCGATCCATTTATTTAATAGCCTCTTTGCTCAACAGTCTAAGAGGCCCCAACTGCTAATCCCAGCATGAGTCATAACTCAGTACATTTTTTCACCCAAGCTTTCAACTTTATTGCTTTTCTAGAGGATTACTGTGCTTTTTTTTTTTTTTTTTTTTTTTTTTTTTTTTTTTTTTATGTTGCAAGGTTCTTCAAGGAATGACTACAGGATGCTTCCGTGATTGATAAATAAGAACATGCATTTCAAACTTAGATTGAAACCCTGGCTTCTCTACTTATTAAGCTGTGTGGCTTTGGGCAAATGACTTACCCTTTCTGGGCATTGATTGCCTCATCGATGCCTAACACCTATGGAGTAAGTTTGTTATTAAACATTCAGTGCAGAGCTACTACAGTGCCAGGCACGGGATAGGATTTGGGGGCATCTAATGTTATTTTTATTTTATTCTTTTGCACCCCCTCTGCTTTCTTTGTCTTCCTTCTTCCCTCATCCTCCTCTTTGCTTCCTTTGGTTTTTTTTGTTTTTGTTTTTAAATATATTTTATTGATTTTTCACAGAGAGGAAGAGAAAGGGATAGAGAGTTAGAAACATCGATGAGAGAGAATCATCGACCAGCTGCCTCCTGCACACCCCCTACTGGGGATGTGCCCGCAACCAAGGTACATGCCCTTGACCGGATTCGAACCCCGGACCTTTCAGTCCCCAGACCGACGCTCTACCACTGAGCCAAACCAGTGCCGGCTGCTTCCTTTGTTTTTAAACTTCACAATTCCCACCCCCAAAAGAAACAGAAACCAATTTTTGAAATTCTCAGCTATGATATCACCCTTGCTATCCGGAGGTGACACTTACGCTAGAATTCCCCTGAGAAAGACGTTGTGTTGATATTGGTGGCTGGAGGGAGAGCATACAGTTGGAGATGTTCAGCCTTAAATTAATAGGATCTTTAAGAAAAATACATGTGCACCCCAATCATGTGATGGGCCGAGTACCACAAGGACAAATTATTAAATCAATGACTAATGGCCAACAGAGTTCAGCTCTACTCTATTTTTACTATGAGTAAACAGAAGAGGTAAGGGGTTGTTTTTGTTTGTTTGTTTGTTTGTTTTGTTTTGTTTTTTTAAGTCAGCGTTGTGCTCACCCAAAAGCTAAATATTCCTCAGAGGGCAAGGTTGGCATAGAAAGTGGGTCCCAGGTCGCCCGGTCCCAACCTCTATCGCATTTTGGCCCTTAGCTGAGTGGAACTGAAACAGGAGTGGTCCAGTGAGGGGACCGGTCCCAGGAGAGGGCAATCAGTCTTACCCAAAGTGGATTCACTGTGTGACAGACAGCAAAACGAATTCAAGAGGACACTTAGAAGTGAATGAGAATTGAAAATGTAGACATCTGAGCGCAAAGATGCAAAGCAAACGGGCGGAGGAGAAAACATGCTCATCGTCCAAGTTTTCCTCTGCTTTGTAGGCGACCCACGTCCAGGTGAAGAATGGAGACTCACTGCGGCTCCCCGCAGGACGGACGGGTGTGAGGATAGGCCAGGCCAGCCCGGAGAGCCTCCGGGAGCAGGCAGCTCTGCGGACAGGCTGCTGTCTCCTCTCCCTCTGTCTCTCCACCTCTGGTTCTGTGTCAATCCTCAGTCTACACGATCTCTAGTTCCCTGAAGGGAACTAGCCTCATTCATAAGCTTGTCCCATGGCATGAGAGCCCCCTGTAGGCCTCCAGTCAGCCAATGGACGGGCTGCTTCATTTGCTCCTAAGATAAACTCGTGTGCTGGGTAGGGACGTGCTGAACTGGCTTGTGATCCTGGTTCTAACACCAGTGGACCAGGTTGTTTGTTTGTTTGGTACAGCAAAGGCGGAGATTTATTGAAGAACAAGTACAGACTCCCATGTGGGGAGAGGGAAGAGTCCCACAGAATGGGCTCCCAAGTAGAGAGGGGGAAAGGGGTCCCCCAGTGGACCAGTTTTAAGACCTTGACCAAGCCATCCCTCTCAGGGTCCCAGTGTGCTCCCCTGTGACACAGCAGGCCACAGGAGATAAACGCTCAAAGGCCCGTTAGGAGCCTCGCATGCTACACCCTGTGATTGAGTTGGGGTTTTGAAGTGTGGCGGCTGTAGATAATAACGTTGTGACTTAGGCCACGGAGAGAATAAGACACTGATTTCGTTACCAGGACCTGCGACCTTGTGCAGGTAACATGTTGAGGAATCAGTGTTTAGCTGGGAGGTGTACTGGCAGAGTGGTTGAGAGGCTTGCCTCTGGAGTCCCACCTGTCTCAGCGGGAATTGGCTGTCACTGGTCTTTGGGAGGTTATCCTACCTCTCTCTACAACCCATTTTCCTTCTTGGGAAGAGTGGGATACACACAGTTTCTGCCTCCGCAGACTCGTCACCCTAACCTGGGCCCAGTGGAAGGGACCTGGCTGTGAGCTGAGTCTCTGGTTCAGGGGACGGCCAGTATTTATTTCCTGTGGCCGCTGTAAGAAATTACCATAAACCCTCAGTGGCTAAAACAACCAAAATCTTTCCTCTCATAGTTCTGGAGGCCAGATGTCTGTAAACAGTATTGCTTGGCTGCCATCCCTCTGGCAGCTCCGGAATCTGTTCTTTGCTTCCTCCAGTGTTTGGGGCTGCCAGCATTCCTTGGCTTGTGGGCACACCACTCAGCATTCACATCTCTCTGCTCTGTTCTCACATCGCCTTCTCCTCTGTGTGTCAAATCTCCTCTTGCCTCCCTCTCAGAGGATACACATGATGGCATTCAGGGCACCCTGATAATCCAGGATCACCTCCTCGTTTTAAAACCTTGCTTTAATCACATCTGCCATGAACTTTTTGCCATATAAGGTAACATCCACAGGTTCCAAGGATTAGGACCTGGGTGTGTGTGGGGGGGTGGGGGGTAGGGGGATATATTTTTATTGATTTCAGAGAGGAAGGGAGAGGGAGAGAGAGATAGAAACAGTGATGAGAATCATCAGTCGGCTTCCTCCTGCATCCCCCCGCCACTGGGGATCAAGCCTGCAACCCAGGCTTGTGCCCTTGACCAGAATCAAACCCAGGACCTACCAGTCCACAGACCAATACTCTATCCACTGTGCTAAACCAGCCAGGGCCCTGGGTATGTGAGGTTTGTTTTTGGTTTTGGGGTTTTTTGAGGCAGGAGGGCACAGAGCACTGCTCCAGGTGGCTGTGGTGGTGTGTCCCAACTGCTCTGGAGATGTCTCTGGCCCCCTATAAACTTCCCTAACTGCGAACACGTCATCTTTCCCGCCCGGCCCAGCTCTCTCTTCTGACTTCCTATTTCTGGCCACAGTCACATCATTTTCTTCATAACCCGCCTCAGAACTGTCTTTGACCCTTCCCAGTTCCTCTGCTTCCACGACACCACCCCACCCATGCTTTAGAGCAGACACCCAGTCTCAGGGTCACAAAGTCTCCGCGGAGAGGGGAAACTTCACAGAGACGGAGCTGAACCCGAAAGTGAGACGGTGACTTGTCTTATGCCATGGGGCTATTTAATGGCAGGGTTGGTCTAGAGCCCGAGATCCACTCCAGCCATGGCTACCCCCACCTCTTATCCCTGTCTCTGCTGCCAACCTCCTTGGCCTTGGCCTTCTCTCTTCTCCTGGGGACCCTGCAGAAGCCTCACGGGCTCTCCTGTCCAGCCTCCCCTTCGGCCAGTCACCCCAGCACCTGTTTCACTTCATGCACTTGGGTCTCTCCTTGACCTAGAAGCAAAGTCCATCCATTCAGCAAATATTTATTTATTGTTTAAAAATATTTTAAAATTGATGCCGGGACTGGTTTGGCTCAGTGGATAGAGCGTCGGGTTTGATTGGAAAGTGGAAAGGTCCCGGGTTTGATTCCGGTCAAGGCCATGTACCTTTGTTGCGGGCACATCCCCAGGAGGGGATGTGCAAGAGGCAGCTGGTCGATGTTCCTCTCTCATCAATGTTTCTAGCTCTCTATCCCTATACCTTCCTCACTATAAAAAATCAATAAAATATATTTAAAATATATATATTTAAAATTGATTTCAGAGAGGAAGGAAGAGGGAGAGAGAGATAAAAAACACAAATGATGAGAGAGAATCATTGATCGGCTGTCTCCTGCACACTCCCCACTGTGGATGGAGCTTGCAACCTAGGCATGTGCCCTGATTGGGAATTGAACCCTGACTTCTGGTTCATAGGTCAACACTCAACCACTGTGCTATGCTGGCCAGGCAGCAAATATTTATTGAGCATCTGTTATGTGTTAGCTGCTGGGGGGGTCCAAGATGAATCAGGCCCAGCCTTAAATCACAATCTGGTCCATCGGCTGACTTGGTCTGGCATTCACATTTCTCACCCACCTCTCCTACACGTGGCCCATCTCCATGGCTGGGATTCCTGCACTCCTGCTTCTGCAGGTTCAGGGGCGTGTCCCTGGGTGCAGAACTCCCTGACCCTAGCTGAGGAGCCTGCCCTACACACCAGCCCAGTGCCCTGTACGTGGCTCCCTGCGCAGTGTGTACCCTTCTGAGACCCTTGGTTCTGCTTCCTGTCCTAGGTGGACTGTAGGAGCCCCTGGTGGCTGCTTTTGCTGCTTCACAAGGTGGTTTCTCACGTCCATCCCCCCTCCACTCCTGTCCCTTGGTTTTTGCTATTGCCTGGAAGTTGGGGTGCACCTGTCTGTCCAGTAGAGGCATCTCTGATCCCCTGAACACAGCTCTCCCTGCCATTGCCTCTCTGGGGAAGCATAGCTGGAACTGAGCAAAGACAGGGTGAGTCCCTCAGCCCAGGGGTGCTCTGAGCAAGAGTGGAGAAACCCCTCCCCCTCACACACACACACACACACACACACACACACACACACACACCAGGTACCTGTCACCCATTCCCACTGAATCCAAGAAACAAGTGCTCCTGCGGGGGTTGAACCGGGCACAGTCCTTTCTTCTGACCCTGAGGAACCTGACCAGCCAGATGGCAGAGATTCCGGACATTTTTATGGGCATTTTGCCTTTCCTGTGAGTATGAGGTTTCCTGCCTATTGCCGTGTATCAGATTACTCCAAACTCTGCGGCTTAACAGCAAAACAGTTTGCTCACAAGTCTGCCAGCCCAGAACTCAGACACAGCACAGGGGGTGCCTGGTCTCCGGCTGGGCGGCACAGCCACGACGACCTTCTCCAGTGTCTCAGCCGCTTCAGCTCTTTGGTCCGGCAGCGGCTGGATCAGCTCCAACAGGGCACAAGCCTGAGTTCCTCAGTTCTCCCCCACGTGACCCCCACGTGGCCTCTCCACGTGGCCTGACTTGCTACATGGTGGCTCGGGGATCCCCAAAGTGCAAACGCAGAATCCACGGAGCGTTCCTCCGGCACAGACCAGAGCCGGTGCAGCGTGCCCCCCGTCCCGCTCTGTGGTAAG